GGAGACGTCTTCGGCCGGAGGGCCTTCTCATTGTTTCTGTTCTCTGACCGGAGTGCCAAGGCTGCATGGCGAAAGACCTGTTGCTGGAAAGGTGCCTTGTGACAGTCGTGTCTAGAAACTTGCAGGAAAAATCCAGGTTTTGCGCTGGGGGACGTCTTCGGCCGGAGGGCCTTCTCATTGTTTCTACTGTAATTATTCTCTATGCCGGTGTGTGTCTAGAAGCTTGCGAGAGAAAATTCAGGTTTTGCGTTGGGGGACGTCTTCGGCCGGAGGGCCTTCTCATTGTTTGTGTTCTCTAGGCCGGAACGTCAAGGCTGCACGGCGAAAGACCTGTTGCTAGAAAGGTGCCTTCATAGAAGCTTGCAGGAGAAAATTCAGGTTTTGCGCTGGGGGTCTTCGGCCGGAGGGCCTTCTCTTCTGGACGGCCCGGGATGCTCCAGGACAACCTTTTTGGGGGCCCCGGGACAACCCGTCCCAGGTCGGTCGATCCTTAAACTTGTGAACAAACGCCCACGCACCCCCATCGCACTCAGGCCCTGTGCCCGTCACACGAAATGAAACGCGCGCGCCCCAAGCAGCCGCGACGGAAATTCGAGGCCGGGAATCCGTCGTAGGCCAGCCTCACAATGGAGCGGACTCGCTGTCGACGGCGGATGCAAGAGGCTCCCGCCAAGGAAAGGCTTGCAAGACCAGATCGCCAGCAAGCGAGAAATTCAACTGAAGCTGTTTTGCTTGCCAGACCGCGCACCTTGAAACCTGCGCCACGAAAGTGGCGCAAAAGAAAATCCCGGCAAAGCTAGTGAGGGAGTGAGACACTGCGGCGTATGACAGTTGCCAATGTCCGAGACGGTTTTGTGTTTAAAAGCCGCCTGGAGCCGTATCCGCGATCGTAGTGGCACTTTTTGCGGCGCTCGCACTTAGGACAATCCAGGCGAGGCATGTGGATTTTAAGGCTCATACGGGGTTCAGGCCTTTCGACCTTGTTCTTGGCCTTAGGGATTTGGGATTTGGGTTTTCAATGTTTCAGAAGTCGCGATCAATTAAAATTGATTTTAAGTCTTTACGTGGTACTGGAACATTAAATCTGATAGCGCCGCACGGTGGCTTGCAGCTGATCACTCCTGGTCCTCGTCTTCCACACGAAGGACCTGAAACTCAACCCAATCCACCACGACCTCTCAGTCTGTGAATGGCATGCGCTGACCCCCGAAACGAAACTCGACTGAGGCAGGCTGCCCAGGGGTTGCCCTTGCTTCCGCCAAAAAAGCTTGCTGTTGAGGACTGGATGAATCCAGATCCCCGGCTTTTTCAGCCGCTTGGCGTGCGCCTCTCACATCCCCCCCGAGCATCCCTTGGAACTACACTGACAAGATCTCGGCAGGCCTTCAGCGCTGCAAGTCCGCAGATGACTTCCCCCTGACCGGGCGCTGCGAAAGCGCAGCTCAACTCCAGGAGGTTGTCGTCCTCGCGCCAGACCATCGCGGGGGCCCCGGACAACCCGCAAAATGGTCCGTTAGAAGGCCAAGGCAAAGAATGGTCTGGAGCCCAAAGAGGCTCGGCTTGGCACAAAAAAGCTCCATTGTGAAGGCAAACTTTCCCCTTCAAGGGGGGGTCAGAGTTTTGACCAAGGGGGGGTCTCCAATACTGCTTTGCCCTGCAACAGAAGCGGGACTTTCAAAGCTTTTGCGCACACCCCCGACACCCCCGAACACCCCGGACAGTGGGGGGGTAGGCCCGGGATGGGGGGGGGGGGTATCCGTTTCAAAGGCCCGGGCCTCCCGAAATTGAGTTTGGATAAGCGGGGGGGTATCCGTTTTAAAGGCCCTTGCCCTCCCCCAAATCACTTCGGATGGGGGGGGTATCCTGTTGAAAGGCCCGGGGCAGCCCCGAAATTGACTCCGGATAGGGGTGGGGCGGTATCCGGTCTCGGCTGGGGCAGCTTCAAAATTGACTTCGGAGGGGGGGGGGGGTATCCGTTTTAAAGGCCCGGGCCGCCCCGAAACTGAATTTGGATAGGGGCGGGGGGGGGGGTTGAAAGGCCCGGGCAGCCCCAAATTGACTTCGGAGAACAGCCAGCCTCAAGTAACGCAACAGGTAGCTGTCTAGTAGAGTCTAGCTATGCCCCCTCCCATCCTTAAAGCGCCTGCACAATATGAGCCTCAGACTGGCTTACTGTGCTTCACCCTGAGTTCCGCACATCCGTGGGCGCAGACCTGGCCCAAACCAGTGTGAAATCGGGCAGCCAAGGGGGCCCACGCCGGACTCTTTTTTGACTCGTCCGGGGCTCCGCTCTCCATGGAACCAAATGAAGAGCCAGGCCTGACACCGATGCAAATGCATCTATCTGCCATTTCTCATGCAATTTGCCACACGTCGCTCTCAGATCATCTCTCATCTCGTCAATGTCTCATCACTCTCAGAGTCGCTGTGAGACGCAGCAAGTCTCTGGCCCGATGTAGCGGCCGGGACTGTCCTTGATGACGTGCCACGTAGAAGTGTGTACCTAGCGTCCAGCGCGTTTAGCGTTCAGACTTCCGCCAAGATCGAGCAGCTTATCTCAGCAGAGCTTCGGATGGGGGGGGGGGGGGGTATCCTGTGAAAGGCCCGAGCAGCCCCGAAATTGACTTCGGATGGGGGGGGGGGGGGGGGGGGTATCCGTTTTAAAGGCCCAGGCCCCCCCGAAATCGAATTCGGATAGGGGAGGGGGGGGGTATCCGTTTTCAAGGGCGACACCTTCCGAGAGCAAAGGCTCGGTTTTAGGACTATGCTTGGCGACCAAGCTTGGCGACCCCTTCAAAGGTGTGCCTGCAGGCCCGATCAGCCTAGATCGGGCCTGCGTGGTCTCGCTGAGCGCTCGACGGCGCCCACTCACCTCTAGAGTGAGAGGGGTGGTGGGCGGGTTCAGGGTTTAGGGTATAGGGTATAGGGTTTAGGGTTTAGGGTTTAGGGTTTTAGGATTTAGGATTTAGGGTTTAGGGTCTAGGGTCTAGGGTCTAGGGTTTAGGGTTTAAGGTTTAGGGTTTAGGGTTTAGGGTTTAGGGTTTAGGGTTTAGGGTTTAGGGTTTAGGGTTTAGGGTTTAGGGTTTAGGGTTTAGGGTTTAGGGTTTAGGGCAGCTAGGGGGTTTGGGTCAGGGTAGGTTTTTGGAAGGCGTCCAGAGGCCTTTTCAGGGGGTCCAGCGTGGATGCGAGAGCTAGCCATGGCCCAATCGTCTTACAGCGCCTAGATTCGACACTCTCCAAGGGCACCACCGGGTGTGGCCTCAGAAGGGCGGGTGAGACTAGGGTTTAGGGTTTCGGGTTTCGGGTCTAGGATTTAGGGTTTAGGGTTCAGGGTTTAGGGTTTATGGTTTAGGGTTTAGGGCTTAGGGCTTAGGGTCTAGGGTTTAGGGCTACCCTCAAGCAACCCAACCTCCACCCACCGCAGGTTGCTGGCAGAGGCTCGGCTCCAAATCTTCCAAAAAGCGCTCCACCGGCTCCTCTTTGGGTTTTATAGGGTTATTGGGTTTAGGGTTTAGGGTTTAGGGTTTAGGGTTTGGGGTTTAGGGGTTGGTTTTGTTTAGGGGTTAGCTGTAGGGTTTAGGGGTTTGGGGTTTAGGGCGAGGTTCATGGGTACTTATAACCCCAAGTAGAAGTCTGCCTACAACCTACTTATGGGACCTAGGGGGCTTATGAGCGCAGTTGTAGTTTAGGTGTTTAGGGAATTGAGGGCTTGCTGGGGCTTGGGGCTTAGTGTTGTTTACCTGGGCGCAGGGCTGCTCAGGGTTTCGGGGTTCTGAGGTGTAGGCTTTGGGGGCTCAGAGATTCGGGGAGGCTTGGGTTCTGGGGTTTAAGGGTGACGAGGTGAAGGGTGACGGTCTTTCAGCTGACTGTCCGCAGAGCCTCAGGGGGCTTGGGGTTTAGGGCTCAGAGCTTAGGACAAAGGATTGCAGGGCTCATCTCTAAACTGCGGGCGCCGTGTCTCAACAGTGGCTACGAAGCAGTTTATGGGCCTCAGGTGTCGGGGCTTTGGGGTCTAGGGTGTAGGATTTGGGTTTGGAAGTTTGGGGTTTAGCTTCCTGGGCTGCCCATGAAGCAAGTCGCATGAACCGTGCGGTGGACATGGGCCTAAACCCTCTAAGACCACCGTCCCGAACCCGTGAACCGCCCAAAAAAACCATAAACTCGCTGCCGCACAGCCCGAAAAGAGCTAAACCCCGAACCCTGAACCTGGAGCCCTAGACCATAAAAACCCTCAACCCCAGTCCTCGACTCAGAGCTATCGGGCTCCCTGAATTTGTAACGCCCCTCTCCTCGTCGTCCACGCTGCAGAAGACGAGCCAACGATCCTGAGATCCGAACACGTTTGAGGTTTTCAGTGTATGATCAGGGTCCCAAACCCCAACTCCCAGACCAAAAACCTTAGAAATCCCTAAACCCCAAACCCTAAACCCTAAACCCGAAACCCTAAACCCTAAACCCAAGCTCTTTAGGGTTCAGGGCCCAGGTTCATGGTGTAGGGCTGCCGCGCGGCTCATCGCGGCACACGGCTACCCCCACAAGCCCAAACTCTGCAAGAACCTTTTCGGCAATATAAGCCTTCCCCTATACTTCCCGAACCCTAAACCCTGAACCCTAAACCCCCCTAAACCCTAAACGCCCCCTAAACCCCTAAACCCCTAAAACCCCTAAACCCTTAAACCCTAAACCCCTAAACCCCAAAAACAAATTAACACACCTCCAAGTGGCCAGGCACAGGCGCTCACCGGCCCGCAACCAGACCTTCCACCCAGCACAGCGAGGGGGGGGGGGGGGGGGCGGGTGTGGGGGGGGGGGGGGGGGGGGGGGGGGGGGGGGGGGCCGGGGGGGGGCAGGGGGGGCGGGGGGGGGGGGGGGGGCGGGGGGGGCGGGGGGCCGGGGGCGGGGGTGCGCACGTTCTCGTAGCCTCACTGTCAGGAGGAAGTATGGCCTGCTCGGCGACGGTGTAAATTCTTGCATCGCGCCTCGAAGAGCTCAAACAAGCTCTACGGGACCACGATACTAATCTCAGAGAAGGACTTCGCGGAGCCCCAAGTCAACGAGACGTTCACGCATCGCGCGATTGACAAGGTCGCCGTGATGAAAGGAAAGACTCGGGCATAGGCCTCCATGAGATCCTTAGTCTCCCAGGGGTTTGAGCGGGAACCCGCGGCGGGGGGGAGGAGGAGGGTTGGGGGGGGGGGGGGGAGGGGGAGGGGGGGAGGGGTGGGGGGGGCGGGGGGCGGGGGGGGGGCCATGATTGTAGGGCTTACGGAAAGGGTCTAAGGTCGGGTCTCCAAGCAGCTCAAAACGAACCCTTTGATTGCGTTCCTAGCTTGCTGAGGAATGCTAAGCAATGGTAAGTCAACAGGCTTTCGGGCTTGCGGTCCAGGATTCGGAGTAGCTTCCTCAGGGTCCTTCTCAGACTTCGGGCTTCGGCTCAAAGGGCTGAAGGTTTAAGAGCTCGGGGTTTCTTTGGGCTGAGTGATTTCTCCTAAGCCCTCAGCCCTAAAACCCTGTTTCCCTAAACCCTACGCCTTAACCACCCGAATTAAGCCCTAAGCCCGAAACCCTGAAACCCTAAACCGTAAACCCTAAACCCTAAACCCTAAACCCTAAACCCTAAACCCTCAGTTTCAGGCTTAGGGCTCTTGCGCCTCCGGCCAGGGCCGGCGGCTGAAACCTTCCGAGGACGTCATCACCTCCAGACAGAAGGCTGGTGCGGGGAGGCGCAGGGTTGAGGGTTTAGGGTTCAGGGTTTAGGGTTTAGGGTTGATGGGGCTGAGGCTTTTAGGGCTTGGAACTTGGGGCTTAGGACATGGGACTTAGGAATCCGCCGAGGCCTTGGGCCGTAGGAGTATGGGGGGCATGAAACAGGACCTCTTCCCTCATTCCCTCATTCCCTCATTCCCTAAACCCTACTAAGAAGCAGGGCTTTTTACGGAGCACCTGCAGCTCGCGGGGCGGCTCGGTCCTTGGCCGGCTGAAAAAATTCCCGAGGGCTGCTTCTCGGATACTCTTAGGGTTCAAGGTTTGGGGTTCAGGGTTTGGGGTTAGGTCTTAGAGTTTGGGGTTTAGGGCTTAGGGTTCCGGGTTTGGGGTTTAGGGTTTAGGGAGTTTAGGGAGTTTAGAGAGTTTAGGGTTTGGGGTTTACGGTTTAGGTTGCATGGTCCTCCCTTGATATGGCCCCTTACTTTTGAAGTACGGGCCCGTTGGTTTTAGGGGGTACATGAGAGGTAAATACGATTCTCCAATGAAGAGCATGAAGGGACCATGTCACTCCCCTAACTTCCCTGAGGCCCCACCATCTCCATCCTTCCTGGCCTTTGTACTAAACCCTAAACCCTAAACCCTAAACCCTAAACCCTAATCCCCAAACCCTAAACCCTAAACCCTAAACCCCAAACCCCAAACCCCAATCAACCGTGGGCTGAAAAGACTCGAAACACTTGCCGCGAGCCACAAACTCCATCAAATTTTGTCAAAGGAAACTTTGGATCTGCCACCCGATGCCCTTCAACCCCAATGATTTTTAGGGTTTAGGGTTTAGGGCTTAGGGTGTAGGGTTTAGGGTTTAGGGTCTAGGGTTTAGGGTTTAGGGTTTAGGGTTTAGGGTTTAGGGTTTAGGGAAAGTTTAGGGTGTAGGGTTTATGGCAAAACAATAACCCTACACACCCCTCCCCGCCCCAGAAAAGAACAAACGGGGTGAAAAAAACCCAAAGCAACTGACCAACATAACACGCTCTCACTCTCTCTCTCTCTCTCTCACACACGCAACAGACACGCAACAGAGACAGAGAGAGAGAGAGAGAGAGAGCGAAAAAGGGGACACAAAAACAACGGCAAAACAACTCATGCTCTAGAACGGTTGCACGTACCAGTTGTGACATGACTGGCGGCATTTCCCTGCACGGAAGGAGCAGAACAACTAGAGTAAAACCCCAAACCCAATACCCTGCTGCCCAAAACCACATGACATACCAGAAAAGACACACCTCCAAACCACCCTAAAGCCTGTACCAACCAACACCCAAACCCTAAATCCCAAAACCCGAACACCCTTAAACCCTTAAACCCTTAATCCAAAACAACCAAAACCCTAAGATCCTTAAACCCAAAAACCCCAAGCCCCAAAACCACCAAAAAAAAGCCTAAAACCAAGAACAAAAACTCCTACAACCCTTAAACCCACCAACAAAAACCAATAAACACATAAATAAAAATGAATAAACAAGCAAAAAATAAAATAGATAAATAATTATAGAAGCATCCCCCCCCCCCCCCCCCCTCCCCCGCACCCCCCCCCCAGAAAAAATAAAATAAATAATAATAATAATAATAATAATAATAATAATAAGAATAATAATAAATTTAATAATAATCACAAAATCGGGGCCCGGGCAGCTGCAGAAAATGCTCCTCGGCCTCGCGGCTGAAGTAGACCGGCTCCTGGGGCTGATGTGGAGTGTTTCTTGAGGGTTGAAGGGTTGCGGGTTTGGGGTTTAGGACTTAGGACTTAGGGTTTTGGGGTTTTACAGTAGGGTTTGGGGTTTAGGGCTTAGGGCTGTAGGGTTTCGGGGTTTTGATTTTGAGTTTAAGGGGGTTTTGGCTTTAGGGTTTGGGGTTTGGGGTTTGGGGTTTGGGGTTTGGAGTTTGGAGTTTAGGGTTTAGGGTTTAGGGTTTAGGGTTTAGGGTTTAGGGTTTAGGGTTTAGGGTTTATGTAGTGGGGCCTTTGTGGATAGGGTTTTGGGGTTGCGGGGGTACTTTTTGTTGGCGCATGAGGCTTACTTAAGTTAAGATATCGACCTTAGATTACATAACCTTTCGTGGATCCCATACAGAAGCTAAACCCTAGACGCCAGACCCTAAACCATAAATGGGCCAAAGTCGGTTTTCTCGGGTCCCCCTAGCGTACGCGAGGAACCCCTGTAAACGGAACCCCAGGGAAAGCCCCCAAGGCCCCACAACCCCAAACCCTAATCCGGAAACCCTAAACCCTAAACCCCAAACCCTAAACGCAACATAATTTTCCGCAACAACCCCCCCCCCCCCTCGCAATTTGCAGCCAGTGTCATAATCCAGCTGCCCGAAGCGCACTTTCCTGGGTGGCAGGGGGCTGTCTGAGAGGGCTGCGGGGCGCTTAGGGTTTCGGGTTTAAGGTTTTGGGTGTAGGGTTAGGGTACCGAAACCTAAAAACTCGATGGCAAAGGAAAGATACCCTAGACCCTACATCCTGAACCCCGAACCGAACCCAAAGCCAAACCTTAAACCCGAATAGACCCTAATCAGATGATTCGGGTCGAAATGTTGGGATTGAAGCCCGAGGACCAAATCCTGGTGCAGGTACACCCACAGCCCGAAACCCTAAACCCTAAACCCGAAACCCTACACCCTAAACCCTAGACGACTTGGAGGTTCAGGGTACTTATTTACCCAATCATAGCTGCACTTATCACCCACTTATAAGCCCCTTAAGTGCCCTAAGATGGTTATAGTTTGGGTTAGAATTGGTTGATAAGTACCATGAACCTTCAAGTAAAGCTGCATGTGAGGGTTCAAAGGGATTAGGAGGGCTTCTGGCTAGGCGTGCCCGGACCTGAGCCCTAAACCCTCAAACCCTCAAACCCTCAACCCCTCAAACCCTCAAACCCTCAAACCCTCAAACCCTCAAAACCCTCAAAACCCTCAAACCCTCAAACCCTCAAACCCTCAAACCCTCAAACCCTCAAACCCTCAAAACCCTCAAACCCTCAAACCCTCAAACCCTCAACCCTCAAAACCCTCAAAACCCTCAAAACCCTCAAAACCCTCAAACCCTCAAGCCCTCAAACCCTCAAACCCTCAAACCCTCAAAACCCACAACCCCTCAAACCCTCAACCCTCAACCCCTCAAAACCCTCAACCCCTCAAACCCTCAAACCCTCAAACCCTCAAACCCTCAAAACCCTCAAACCCTCAAACCCTCAAACCCTCAAACCCTCAAACCCTCAAACCCTCAAACCCCCAGACCCTCAAACCCTCAAACCCTCAAACCCTCAACCCCTCAAACCCTCAAACCCTCAAAACCCTCCAACCCTCAAACCCTCAAACCCTCAAACCCTAAACCCAACGCCGTGCGCTGTTCAAACCCGGGGTCAGTGGTGAGGAAGCGACCTGCACGCCCCACTCACCTGAAGTGGCTTTGGGGCTTACATGACGTGTACGGTTTAGGTTTAGGGTTTGGGAACTGTTTAGGGTTTAGGGTTTAGGGCTGAGGGTTGAGGGTTGAGGTTGAGGGTTTGGGGAATGTTTAGGGTCAAGGGGTTCAGGGCTCAGGGGGCTGTAGGGTTTCAGAATTGAGCGTGTAGGGCCTAGCGGGTTTGGTGGGGTTTAGGGTCTAGGGCTCTGTGTCTAGCAGGTGTCCCGTTCTGCGGCTCGAGAGTGTTGAAGGACCAGGGTCTAGGGTTTTAGGGTTTAGGGTTTAGGGTTTAGGGTTTAGGGTTTAGGGTTTAGGATGGTTTAGGATGTAGGGTCATGCTACGGAAGGGAGCTGTGCCCGCGGCCGAAACCCTAAACTCTGCACCCTACATTGGCGGTCCGAGAAGGCAACCTCCCAAACCCTAAACCCTGAACCCTTTAAACCCTAACCCTAAACCCTAAACCCTAAACCCTAAACCCTTTAACCCTTTAACCCTTTAACACTTTAACCCTTTAACCCTGAACCCGATCAGCCGTGCGACGTAGTGCCTGGCCGTCACTGGGATCGGAAAGGCCGCGCATGAGCTTGCCCTGCCAACCCGAGCTTTGTTGGGAGCTGTAGGTGGGGTCCAGGCTTCAGGGTTTAGGGGTCAGGGGATATAGGATCCAGGGTTAGGGTTTAGCTCCTCCAACACCGAGTCCTCAGGCTTCAAACGCCCACCACCAGTCCACCACCTGTAAGACCCACAAAACACACAACAAGCCTCATGTTAATTTCCGCCCGAAACCCTAAACCCTAAGCCCTAAGCCCTAAGCCCTAAACCCTAAACCCTAAACCCTAAACCCTAAACCCTAAACCCTGAACCCTGAACCCTAAACCCTAAACCCTAAACCCCTACCCCAACCTGATAACCCAAACCTGATAACCCCACGGGCCCTACGCCCTGCAACCCCAACCCTGCCTGAAGTTGCCAGTGCTCCCGGGGTGAATGCCGAAGGCCTCAGCGGCGGAGCCGGATGCATCCCCATCACAGGGGCCTTTAGGTCTCGGGCTTGAGGGCTTCTGCTGAAAGGCAGAATGATCTGTCTGCTGTGGGCCCATGGAATCCACACCCAAGCTGAAATCCATGGCATCGAATTTGATGGGGCACTTCTTTTCTTTCGGCACTACCAGCGAGTAGCTCTATGCTATACACTACTAAGTCAAAAGTGCTTTGCGTCTTGCTGCTTCGGCTATGCATCTTGCACTGCCTTTATGTAAATTCGAAGATGCCCTTGCTTCGCAAGATATCTTATGTTGACATGCTCAAGGGGCCACACACCGCAGCCTTCCCCTTGATCAAAAGGGCCACCCCTCGTCGCCCATCATGTCGCACCTGACGGCACATCTTTCACTCCTCCTTGAAGCAGACGCCAGGCATGCTTCATCTTCAATCCTCGGCTCCATGGGGTCCTCGTCCATCATGTCTCAAGAAAAAAAAGCTGCAAATTTGTAGCGACTCTACCCGAGACGACGTCCCCTGGTTTCTGAAGTCGGCATTGCAAGTGGCCTCTGCGTTGAATCCAATTCGTTTCCTGGGAATGGAGATCCATGCGACAACCCGAGGATTCACTATTTCACAAAGACCCTACATCCGAGAACTTTTGCGGCTACATGAGATTAGCAGCCAGAGGTTGGATGTGGTGCCAGTGATCGGGAAATTGGAAGCTTCGAAGCAACCCAGAGGAGGGCGTGCTTTCTCAGTGACCAGATCTGGGATATGTTGCCTCCCTACTGTCTTCGTCAACAACAAAAGCGCCGCGGAGGGCGGCAGAGATCACCATGAAGGTACTGGGATACCTACAGCGCACAATGGAGTATGCCCTTTTCCTGGAAGCAGACTCGTCTGGATTGGTGTCCTATGCCGACAGCTCGTTTGCGCCGCCTGGATCGGGTCGCGTACAGGGTGGGTGACAATGTTGTTTGGAGTCCCAATCAGCTGGCGATCTAGCCGGCAGTCGACTACATGACGGGGATTCAGCGGCCGAGGAAGGAGCATTGGCATTGATGAGCTCGCAGGCCCTCCTAACGGATGTGATCGAGATCCCCATAGACTTGGTGTTGGAGACGGACCCCACAACAGCGCTGTCGCTCGCGGAAGGCTCAGGATCGTGGAGGACGAGACACCTGAGAATCAAAGCAAATTGGCTGTATGAACACATAGGGCAGGACACCTGAAGATGGCTCATCGCTGTGGAGCAGCGCAGCCAGCTGATGTTTTGACTAAGGCTATGCCCTCGACGCGGACGGTACAACTTATGGACCTCTGGAACCTGAAGACGAGAGTCGAAGAGCTGGAAGACGAGTTGAGCCCTGAAGCGGTGCCTACAACAACATCTGGAATGAGGGCGCTGCTGGCGTTGATGGTGTTGGCCCAGTCTAAAACACCAAGTAACTCAGATAGGTTTGGGTAAGAAATAGCAGTCCTGGACCCTAAACCCTAAACCCTAACCCCTAACCCCTAGCCCCTAACCCCTAACCCCTAAACCCTAAACTAAACTCTTAAACCGCAAGCCCTCCCTAACCCCAAACCCTAAACCCTTAAACCCCAAGCCCCAACCCTTTCGGACACACTTTTTTTTGGAGTCGTGGTGCTGCATCGCTGTGCTCTGGCGGCTTCCACAGAGGGTTTGCTATATTTTTTTTGAAGGCCTTAGTTTAAGTCAAGTGTACTATTATCCTGGTTTTGCAACCCCTCTGTCTCAGGTTTGGGGTTTAGGGTTCTGGGCTTGCACGAGTTCAGGGGTCTTCACGGTTTAGGGTTTAGGGTTGTTTAGGATTTACGGTTTAGGGTTGAGTGGTTTTTAGCGTTTAGGTTTAGGGCGCTTTTTAGGGGTTAGGGTTTAGGGGTTTTACGAGTTTAGGGTTTAGGGTTTCTTAGGGTTTAGGGTTTTCAGGGTTTAGCGCATAGGGTGTTTTAGGGGTTGAAGGCTTTTTGGGTTCAGACATTAAGGGGTTTAGGGTTTAGGGTTTCTTGGGTTTAGGGCTCAGGGGTTGTTAGGTACGCGCTTTGGGGTTGGTCAGTCTTGTGGATTGTTAGGGGAAGCGGAAGCCGATACCCTTTCTCCTAAACCTTAAAACTCTAAACCCGACAGAGTTTAGGGGCCTTCAGTTGAGGGCTTCAGGGCCTTGAGGCGTAGGGCTTGGCTGTGCAAAAATCTCAGGTCAGTGCTTCAGATACTTCGCCACATAGCTGCCAGGCTCGGGCTGCAGAACGTGCCCAGACAGCGTGGGGTGTACTTGGCGCGCGAACAGATGGCAATGCTCTGAGCGCTTCTTGGCGCTGGGCTACCGAGAGCTCTCGAAACTCTCTTGCGTGAAGTCGTGCTCCGCGAGCAAATCTTCCAATTCCCGGCACACGCTCGCGTGTCATGACGCGCCATGGCTGCGCAAGTTCGCCCAAGCGTACACTGCAATCCTAACCCTAAACCCTAAACCCTAAACCCTGTTTCGACTGCTGCGACAACTTCGGGGAGGTCTCTCCTGGAGCGCTCTGCGGCAGCCCCTGCAGGTCCGCATCGAGCGCTGGGTGAGCGTCTTCGCTGGGCGCTACTGATGGCTTGTTTATGGGTTAGGGTTTAGGGTTTAGGGTTTAGTGTTTAGGGTTTAGGGTTTAGGGTTTAGGGCTTAGGGTTTAGAGTTTAGGGCTTAGGGTTTAGGGTTTAGCTTTAGATTCTCAAATGCTCCCAGAATCATCGAAGCTCAACAAATTATCAAAGACCCTTGCAGTAAGACCAGAAGTGAATCGAGTTGATAATCTCAAAACATTCCCAGAAAACTCAAGAGTTGAAAACGTTTCGTTCAGAACTTTTGGGATCCAAGCTCTGTACAATTTCCAGAAACCCTCAGCATCGTTCGTGCTTGGGGGTTCATGGTACTTGTTAGCCGAGAATAACTGTACTTATAACCCAAATCCGCCGAGGCCTTGGGCCGTAGGTGTCTGGGTAGCACAAAGCAGGGACTTTTCCCCACTTTCTTTACCTTATTTGCCCCCAGCCCATGGTTTGGGTTGCCTTGTTACAGAAGCTCAGGCCGAGGCGGGCCGCGTAGCGTTAAAATTACAAGCATATTAGGGCACTTAAGGGCTATAAGTGGGTTACAAGTACCGGTTATAATTGGTTATATAATAAGTACCCCTAACCCCTAAACCCTAAAGCCCCAGGCCCCAAACCCTAAACCCTAAACCCTAAACCCTAAACCCCTAAGTACAGTTATAATTGGTTAATAAGCACCCTGAACATCCAAGTGGGTCCTGGGCCCCGTGCCCCTCCAGAGCCCCTGCGAAAACTCCTGCGGCTGAGAGTAGTTTCCGGTTTAAGATGTAGGGTTAGGATTTAGGGTTTTGGTTTAGGGTTTAGGATTGGGAATTTCCAGGATTTAGGGTTTAGGGTCCAGACCCTAAGGGCTTGATTTTTTTTTTTTTGGGCGGGGGGGGGGGGGGGGGGGGGGGGCGGGTGGGTCGTTGAGGCGAAGCTTGGGGTTTAGGGTTTAGGGGTTTAGGGTTTGGGGTTTGGGGTTTGGGGTAAACCCCAAGGCTCAGCGAAAGCGTATTGCACCCTGAAACCCTTCTCGAGGCACCCGAGGCCAGGGAAGGTCCTTTGAAGTTAGGGGTTTAAGGTTTACAGGGTTCAGGGTTCAGGGTTCAGGGTTCAGGGTTCAGGGTTCAGGGTTCAGGGTTCAGGGTTCAGGGTTCAGGGTTTAGGGTTTAGGGTTTAGGGTTTAGGGTTTAGGGTTTAGTTGGGATTTAGGATTCTGGCAGCTTCAGGCCCTGTGGTTGACTTGTAGGCCCCTTAAGTGTCCCAATATGGTTATCAACCTGGGTTAGAAGTACAGCTATAATTCGCGAATAGGTACCATGGACCTTCAAGAACCCTAAACGCTAAACCCTAAACCTAGGGCCGAAGCAATTGAGGTTCTGGGCTCAAGGAGATGAGGGGTGGGTTTATACAGGGTTTGGGCCTCAGGGTTGTCGGGAAAAAAACCGAAACTCCAAACTCGAAACAGGTTAGGGTTCAGGGCTTAGGGCTTAGGGTGTAGGGTTTAGGGTTCAGGGTTTAGGGTTTAGGGTTTCGGGTTTAGGGTTTAGGGTTAGGGTTGAGGGTGTAGGGTTTAGGGTTTAGGGTTTAGGGTTCAGGGAGGTCCTTGTTGCTCTTCCACTCGTCGTCCAAGCCGGTGAGAAAGGCCACCTCCGCCGGGAGGTAGACCTGTCCGGGGGGGGGGGCTGAGGCCTAAACCCTCAACCTGAACCTCGGGCTGGGGATTTTGGGGGGTGTAGGGTTTAGGGTTTCGGGTTTGGGGTTTTAGGGTTTGGCTTTAGAGTTTAGGGTTTAGGGTTGACCCTAAAACCCTGAACCGAAACCTGACATCCCGGAAACTCTGGACGTAAGCTGCCGTCTGCGGCGGGCCTCCGCCTTGGCGCGAAAGGGGCAGTACAGCAGCCTCGCAGACAAGGTTTAGGGTTTTAGGGTGTACGGTTTAGGGTTATTTTGGGTTGCGGGCTTAGGGTTTTACTGTACAAGTCGCAGACAAGGCCCCCCCCCAACCCGCTGCGCCGGGTGTAAGGTTTGAGGGTCTAGCGTTTTTAGGCTTCTTGGGGTTGCTCTGTTTTAGGGCTTAGGGTTATTCGGGGTGTTTATTTGGGGTTAGTGTTTAGGGATATTTAGGGTTCTTCAAAGGGTTTAGGGTTATGTAGATATGTAGGGGTTTGTATGTAGGGTTTAGGGTTTTTAGCGTTCTAGGGCACAAGTCTTAGTTAAAAAGGGAATCGCAAAGCCATCACCGGTCAGGGTTCTGCGCTTGGGGCTAAGGGACCCTAAACCCCTCAAAGCCAAACAAGCCAACCCTAAATGGTTTAGGGTGTGTATAGGGCTTGGGCGTAGATAGTAGGGCTTAGGGTTTAGGATTTAGGGTTTAGGCAACCCCAAGACCTGCCTAAACCCTAAAACCTGCGACCAATCGAGCGGACGCTCGGTTAGCATTTAACTGTTCTGGGGTGCGATCATGCTCCTAAACCCTAACCTCAACCCTCAACCCTAAACCCTAAACCCGGCCCTGAAAGGGCACCTCTTCTTCTGTGGCCTGCTGTATCTTCATGAGCTCTTCGGGAGGCAGAGTTTGGGGAGTACAGGTAGGTTTGGGGGTTGCCTAACCCTAAACCCAAACCCAAAACCCTAAACCGTAAACCGCAAAAACCTGAACCCCAAACCCTAAACCATGAATCCTAAACCCTAAACCCTAAAGCCCTAAACCCAACCCCAAAACCCTAAACCCCAATAAACCCTGAACCGTAAACCCTAAACCCTAAACACAAGCCACTTACGAACCCCGGAGCCCACAACTCAGTGGCCGAGGATCGGCTGCTTCCGCTGTAGGACAATTCCGTGGCGGCGCTGGAAATACTCCTGCAGGGCCCCGCTTGGCAGGGTTGCTTACACTGTAAGTTTAGGGTTTGGGGTTTTTAGGGTTTAGGGAGTTTAGGGAGTTTAGGGAGTTTAGGGGTTGGGTGTGTTATCATCCCCCTAAACCCTAAACCCTAAACCCCAAACCCGAAACCGCAAACCCCAAACCCCAAACCCTAAACCCTAAACCCTAAACCCTAGCCCTAAACAAGGACAGCCCAACCCCTGGCTGCTGGTCTGCGTCTGCTGAGGAGTCGCTGGCATGGGCTGAAGCACTGCGGTGGTAGGCTTTAGGGTTTAGGCTTTAGGGTTTAGGGCTTAGGGCTTAGGGCTTCGGGTTTAGGGTTGAGGGTCCTGAGGTTGCTGCAAGCTGCACGCTTCATGGCGCCGTCCTTGGACAGGGCCTCACAGAACTCGTTCCAGCGTGCGCTGCCTGGAACTCTCTGTTGTAGGTGATGCCACCGGCCTTGGCCAGTGCCACGCCCGCTTTCTTGTGCTCCTCCTTCTGTTTGGCCTTGGCTTGCTTGGAGGCCTTCTGGGACCCTCGGCCACGCCATTGGCTTTTTGGGCTTCGGCCACCATGTTGGCTTCCATCGCCACAAGTTCGGGGAATGTTGTCGCCGTCGCTGGCAACCCAATGCTGCTATGCACCCACCAGCTCTCTTAACAGCGTTAAGGCGCCAAGATGTACGCTCACCAACAAGAGACCCTAGAGTCATAGAGACCCCCCAACCTCATGCATGCGGCTTTCGTGGCTCGTAGCGCCGTAGGGTCTGACACGTTCAGCTTCTTGATTCTGAGAGCCCGTGGGGCCCATAAAGAACGGATCCAAGAGCGTTGCAGCAATGAACAAACCCTCTACCCTGAAAGGTTGGGGTTTAGGGTTTAAGGCTTAGGGCTTAGGGTTTCGGGTTTCGGGTTTAGGGTTTAGGGCCTTGGGGTTTAGGGTTTAGGGATGTTTGGGGATGTTTTGGGGTTAGGGTTTAGGGAAGGCGCGTGGTCCCCAACTCTAAGCCCAGGCGTGGGTCTCCAGGTAGGTGATCTCGCCATCCTCGAAGGGGAACGTGGAGGAGGGGTCCTTGTCCTCGCGTCGCCCAAAACCCTAAAGCCCTAAAGCCCTAAAAACCCTAAAGCCCCAAAACCTAAAAAAAAACCCTAAAACCCCAAAAACCTAAAACCCTGAGGGTTTTTCTCCGGGGGGCTTCAGGGTTCAGGGGGTTGGACTCTGGACTCTCGACCCTGGAAAGGAGGACTCAGGTCCCAAACCTCAGGCTCTACTGCAGATTCGGCCCGGACCCCTCTGAATGAAGGGACTGAAGGAGGGACCCTTATAAGGACCTTCGGGGCTAGTTGAGGATTATTTCCGGGCTACTTGGGTATATTTTTTTGGCTCCCTAGCCCCGAATGGCGCCTTCTGCACACCTGATGCCTAAACTCTACCTGCCGAAACCCCCTCAGGGTGTAGGGGGCGGGGGGGGGGGGAGGGGTGTTAGGATTGAGGGATTAGGAGTCCGGGCAGTCGGTCCAGCGCGCCCTCGTCCCATCACCCAAAGCACCCCAGGGCCCCGAAAAAGTAAAACTCCACTCCGACGTCCGAATCGTACTCAGTCCCTACTTCAACCGAAGCCCTAACCCTAAACCCTAAAGAACCCGAAGCCTTAAACCCTAAAGCTTCAGCGCTGGCTTTTCCAGAGGCCTGCGAAATCTTAACACTTTCGGGGAGGGTTTGATGCGGTTGGGGGCAGAGGCTGCGGGATCGGGTTTTGAGGGTTTTTGAGGGTTTTTGAGGGTTTTTGAGGGTTTTTGAGGGTTTTTTGAGGGTTGTTTGAAGGCTTTTTGCGGGTTGTTTGAGGGCTTTTTGAGGGTTTTTTGAGGGTTCTTTGAAGGTTTCTTGAAGGTTTTTTGCTGGTTTTTTTGGAGGGTTTTGAGGGTTCGAGGTGTCCTCCGCCCAAGCCCAAGACGATACAACCCTAAACCCCCAGAGCTCTCTTGGCCGAGTGGCGATGCACACCTTCTGGATGCGGTAGTGGATTTGGTTGTGCCTTCAGGGCTTCACTTCTCTAAGGGTCTAGAGTTTAAGGTTTAGGATTCAGGGTTTAGGGTTTAGGGAGCTTGGAAAGCTTAAGCTTCAGGAAAGGTTTACCCTAAGACCCGAAATCCGAACACCTTAAGACCCTTCCAGCCCTAAGCCCAATACTAGGAGAGGAGGGCTCCTTCAGGGTTGGGGTTTCAGGGTTTTGGGCCTGCTGATCCATCAAGACTTACGGGGAATGAGGGAATGAGGTAACTCGAATAATCCCTTAACGGGCATATGGGAGTTTACGAAAATGAGGGACCCTAATAGAGACCCCAAATAGCAGGATTCGCTTATGATAAGGACCCCAACAAGGTACAAGGTACCCTGGTTTTCGTAAACCCCCCCCCCCATATAACGGGGAATACAGACCACCAGTACGAAGATGTATAGTCCCTTTATGCCTAAGTAGCCCCTAAATGACCCCCAAATAACCCCTAAGGTCCCTTATAAGGGTCCCTCCCTTGGGCGTGACAGGTGAATGCAAACAACCAAACCCTCAGCCCTAAGCCCTAAACCCTAAACCTAAACCCTAAACCCTGAACCCAGTACGAAGATGTAGGGTCTGGGTTCGGGTCAGGTGGGTCGCCAGCCCTTTGAACGGCACGTTTTTTTGCGAGCAGCCAACGCACGTTTTTGCGAGCAGCCAACAGGTTCGCGTCAGGGTTTAGGGCTGCGGGTTCACAACCCTAAACCCTAAACCCCAACCATAAACCCTAAACCCTAAAGCCTAAACCCTAAACCTTAGGGTTCATAACCTTGGCGCTTTTAACACAACCCTAAACCCTTGACCCTGGTTTCGCGTCGGGTGTTCTGTGCTTTTAGAGCTGTTAGTCGGAGGGCTGAGGGTTTACAACTTCGGGCCCTTCGCGTGTGAGGTGCGAGTGCAGGCTTGATTTGAGACTTATGACTCAGGGTTTAAGGGTTAAGGGTTTAGGCTTTAGGGTTTAGGGTTTGGGGTTTAGGGTTTAGGGTTTAGGCTTCGGGTCCCCCACTCCCCCGCGCGCGCCGGCTCATGCAGGTGCGCCCGGCGATCTGCTTCTGAAGGAATGTATCCATCTCGTCCTGGGCACCCCAAACCCCAAACCCCAAACCCCAAACCCCAAACCCCAAACCCCAAACCCTAAACCCTAAACCCTAAACCCTAACCCTAAACCCCAGCACGTCGACCCTGGAGTGGATGCTACATTACGGGCCCGTTTTTCCCTAAGCGATAAGCGGGGTTCTGATAGTTAGGGCTAGTATTTAGGGTTGAGGGTTTAGGGTTTTTTTGTTTTTTTTTTGGGGGGGGGGGGTCCTTAGTCAACGGATTACCACAATAGGTCCCCCTATGGTGGGGCATTGCCCATAAGTCCCATAAGGATTGTATCACCACGGAGAAGCCCTGTTACAAAGCGGCCCATGACTTGAGTTCAGCCAACTGCATCGTAGGGATTAGGCCTTTGGGGCTTCTAGGGCTTTTAGGTCTTCGGGGGTTTTAGTTTAGCTTGCCGGGGTTGGTCTTCGACGGTTCTAAGGGCTTTTAGGAGATCACGGGTTGAAGCCAATGAAGCCACCCCTTACACCCGTAACCCCGTAAACCCTGAATCCCTAAGCCTCTAAACCTTGCAATGCCTGAAGCCTTAAGCCCCATAAACCCCTAAACCCCTTAAATAGCACCTAGCCGGCTCCTACATCTGAGGGCGGCCCCAAAAGCCCCTAAAGTCCCTAAAGCCCCCAAACCCCCAAAACCCCAAAAACCTAAAAGACCCTAAACCCTAAACCCTAAACCCTAAACCCTAAAAACCTAAAAAACCTAAAAAACCTAACCTGAACGACAGGCCAGGTGTTTGATGGTTCTGCGGGGCGGTCCTTGCTGGGCTCCCGATTGTATGTCTGCTGGTAGTGCTGTCCTCACGCCAGCTCGAAGAACCCCCTAAAAATCCCCAGCCTTTCAACCCCTAAACACTAAACCCTAAACCCCAAACCCGAAACCCCTAGACAAAAACAATGCAGTAAGGGGTGTTTAGGGGTTTATAGGGGTTCAGAGCTTCAAGGTGCTCAGGCTTCAGGTTAAGGGGGGAGGTCTAGGGTGCGCAGTGTGGTCTTGGGTGCTGGTATGAGGTCGCCCGTAGCTCTCGAGACCCTAAAAGCTGTGACTGCTTGTAGAGGGGTTGATCGAGGCTGTTGACCACTTTTGCGTCTCCATCGCGTGTATTGCGGCGTATACCTTGGGATGTTCCCCCTGATACCAACAGTGCTTCGTATGGATTCGGGTAATCGGGGCTACTTTCATCCCATTAAGGACTGTTCGTATAAGGGGGCAACATCCCAAGGTATATTCATTGAAATTTAGGGCACCAAATGGGCCAACAATTTTTGTCCCGTGAGTCGGAACCAAAGCTGCAATCGCAAAGCCAAGGGGCGCAGACAATCCCGGAAGTGATTCAGCGTGTCGAGTACCTGGGTCGCGGAAGAGAGCAACCGCAGGGGCCACAATGAGGGCTTAGGGTTTAGGGTCTAGGGTTTCGAGTTTAGGGTTTAGGGTTTAGGGTCTAGGGTTTAGGGTTTAGGGTTAAGGGCTTAGGGTTTAGGGCTTAGGGTTTAGGGTTTAGGGTTTAGGGTTTAGGGTTTAGGGCCCCCCACCCCATCCTAACACATAGGCACGTGTAAGGGGAATCACAAGTGAAGCGGCCTTCTTTTCGGGTGCCGGCATGAAAGGCAGGCTGTCAGACGAAACCCTCTACCCCCAAGACCCCAAACGCCAACACGCCGAAGCCTGGTCCAAACGCACCAAGCCTGGTCCAAATTTAGGGCTTAGGGTTTAAGGTTGAGGGGCACCCCTCATTTTCGGAAAACCCACGGGAGGCTCGTCCTCTGAGTTTGTGCCAGTGCCAGGAGAGGAAAGCGTCCTTCAGAGTCAGCTAAGCAAGCGTCTCGAGCATCGTTGCAAGGTCCTTCGCCGCTGTCCTTATCTCGGATCTCGCTTGCTCGAGGTAATTCTGGGCATTGTTCACTTGCCAGTTTCCTGAATTCGCGTAGCCTGATGAATAAGCCAGGCCGTCGGCAGTGTCCACAGCCACCACAAACTCATCCAGTGCCTCCTGGAAAGCAGCAGGATCGCTGGCCGCTGACGCCACCGCCAAGCCTGCCTTTTGGACCTGGGCGACGGGGGAAGTGGATGCCTTGAGCCCATTCCTCACGAGGTCCCCGCTCTTGTTCTTCTTGATCGACTCGTAGTCTGCAAGAAGCTTGTCCAAGAACTTCTGGGCATCGAGCAGCTGCTCCCGGGCCGCGCCGACGCTGAGGGCGCGCGCCGGCGCGGCGCCGCGCCGCGCCCGCGGCCGCGGCGGCGAGCGCGGCGGCGGCGCCGCCGCGCCTGCCAAGGGCCAAGGGCTCCTGGCTGCTGGGCGCCAGCCAGGCCCTCTGGCAGAGCAGCACAAGCAAGAGCAGGAACGGCAAGGCCCAGGTGCGGCGAGGAGCGAGAGGAGCTAGAAGCGCGGCCATGGCTGCGTCTTGACTGGGGGGTCTTCCTGAGCCGAGTCGTGCCGCCCGAGGTTACATGCACCCGGAACAGCAGTGGCCATGGGCAAGAATGGTGCCCAGAGAGCCTAATGCTTCCTAAAAGCATCCCCGAACAAGAAGGACCCCTGCTTTTCATAAGGTAGGTGTTCAGGCTCCAGGATTGCAGGGCGTGCGGGGGCAATTAGGGCATTGAGGATTTACAGGGCTTGGGGTTGACAGGCCTCAGGGCTCATAGACTGTCAGGTCTGAGCTTTATACTTGAGGGTTCATGGGAAACTTCAAACAGAAGAGCTGCGTGCGCCTAGTTTGGGGCTGGAAGCAAAAGCTACCCTACATCTGACTCCTCAGGATTCTTCAAGTACTGCCTCACCCTGACCCAAGCCACCAGGCTTCTAGGTTGTAAGACAAGGCCTTTTGGAAACTTGAGTGAGTAATTCTTGGGTCTTGTTTGTTGAGCTTTAACAGGGGCCATAGGGGGGGGTCATATGGGATCATGTTGGTTTAGGCTCCGTCTTCGAAAGACTAAATCGGGGCCGGTCCACATTTCTGGGTCTCCATCATCGTATTCTCTTGTTTCTCATATTGGCTAGAATCTAGTTCTTAGTATGGGAAAGAACAGAGGGAATTCGGCACCGCCATGTCGCCGGGCACCCTCAATTTGCCTGACTCCCGATTAACAACCCGTAAGCCCAGACCCTAAGTCCGAAGCCCCTGCATGCCCGTGGCTGCATTTTGTGGAATGGCCCAAGACTTACGGGGGTGGAGAGGTCATCAGCTGAGGGCTTTGAATTCAAAATCTATGCAACTGCGCCTTCAAGCGAGGTCTGCATTCTGAACGAAATCCCCAAAGCGCCAAACCCCCGAAGCCCACCCACCAATAAACCGAGCCCCAAAAGCTTAAGCCCCCAGGCCCTAAAAACCCTTAACCCCAAAGACTAGGCATTCGTTGGGATCAGGGCATAGGGTTTAGGGTTTATGAGGGTTTAGGGTTTAGGGTTTTGGGCGGAAGCAAACCCTCAACCCTCAGGCCCCTTTGAACCCAGCCACCGTCTGTCCCTGGATGAGGCGGACTGAGATGTCTACCTGGCTCGAGGTGGCTTCTAAAACCCTAAACCCTAAACGCTAAACCCTAAACCCTAAACCCCAAACCCCAAACCCTAAACCCCAAAACCCCCATGTGGTTAGTGTAGCAGTCCCTCAACCTTGACCTCCCTAAACCTTAAACGTAAACTCTGAAAAGGGTTTCGGGTTTAGGGTTTGGGATTTGGGGTTTAGGCTTTAAGGTTTGGGGCTTAGGGAGACAGTTCATCTTCGAGGAGGATTTCAGGTTACCCACTCCCCTCCCTGTTTAGAAAGGAGGTCGTGAGGAGCGGGGCAAGTGTGCACCTGTCAAATAGACCACATGCTCCGTCTGAAGTGCGGGCTTCGGGTTTGGGGCTTAGGTTTAGGGTTTAGGGCTTAGGGCTTAGGGCTTCGGGTTTCGGGTTTAGGGTTTAGGGTTTAGGGCTTAGGGTTGAGGGTCTAGGGTTTGGGTTTAGGGTTAACTTCGAGTTTAGGGTCTGGGGCTTAGGGTTTAGGGGGTTAGGGTTCAGGGCAGCGAGTTTCAGTGCCGCTGCCTCACGAAGCTGCATGTGAGGCTCTTGCACACCAGGGTTCCTGTGGAGCCTTGCCATTAAAACTAAGGCTTCCATGGCAGAAGTGACCCTAAACCCTAAACCCTAAACCCCTACACCCTAAACCCGAAACCCCAAACCCTAAACCTCAAACCCAAACCACCCCGGCCCCCGTAGCTTGTAGCCGCAAGCATGATTCATACGGATTGGAGATTCTTGGGCTTGCCAAACGCTAAACTCTAAACCCTAAACCCGGGTCAAGAGGCTATTGGGGTCTTGGGGGTTTAGGGCTTAGGTTTAGGTTTAGGATTTAGGGTTTTGGGGTTGAGGGTTTTAGGGTTTAGGGTTTGGGGTTTGGGGTTTAAAGTTTGAAGTTCATGGGTTAGAAAGACACCACCTCGGCTTGCCTTCAGGCACGGCCCCCGCGCGACGTACGCCGAGGCCGCTGCAAAGCCTGCGACAATGAGCCCTCAGGAAAACCCTAAACCCTAAACCCTAAACCCTAAACCCTGAAGCCAACGCCCCCCGTCCTTTGTAGAGAAACACGCGCGGGGCCAGCGAGGGAAGGCCCTTGAAATGGGCAAAGTTGCAAACATGAAAAATGGGTCCTATTTAAACAGGGAGCTTGGGCACGAGGGTATTCGAGTATTCAGGTACTAGGGTATTGGGCGTTAGGGGTATCAGGGTATCAGGGTATGAGGGTTTAGGGTTTAGGGTATTAGTTGGCCCTGCTCAAGTAGAAGCTCGTAATTGAAATGCTCCAGTGTACCAGCATCGGGTCTAGCTGCAGAGCATAACTTGCGTAAGACTTCCGTACAACGAATAAGGGCTTAGGGACTTAGGGCTTAGGGCTTAGGGATTAGGGTTTAGGGGTTAGGGTTTACGGCTTAGGACTTAGGGCTTAGGGTTTAGGGGTTAGGGTTGAGGGCTTAGGACTTAGGGCTGAGGGCTTAGGGCTTAGGGTTCAGGGTTTAGGGCATAGGGGTTTAGGGTTTAGGGTTTAGGGTTTAGGGTTTAGGGTTTAGGGTTTAGGGCCAAGCTGCCAAGGAGGACTCCGGCGGCGCCACGGACAGAACCTGCCGAGGCTCATGCGGCCCCGACAGGGGGGGGGGGCTTGAGATTTCATGTCTGTTTTAAGGTAAGGAAACATTAAGCCCTAAACCCTAAGCCCTAAGCCCTAAACCCTGAACCCTAAACCCTTAACCCTAAACCCTGCTAACGGGTTCACTTGCAGGGACACTTTTTCGGGTTCTAGCGCAGCTGAGGTGCAGACACTGCTTGTTGCTCCGGGCTTTAGGGCTGGAGAATAGTGTGGCCCGCGTGCTATTCTCCTATGACGCTACTGATCCCTGGCCTGGTGTGTAGGTGAATGCCACTTATCTCAAAAATCCTACTTTGCGACGGTTTGGAGGGTCTGCGTTTCGTCGCTAGTACTTGGCCGCTTGTCCTCCGGATGTCTGTTTTGGGGGAGAGGGGGGGAAAGGGGGGGGGTAATGGCGCCGTTTTCTACCTTGCACAGATCTTTGATATGTTTCGGAAGCTGACCATTCATTCTGTTAACTATGGTCGAAAGGCTACCGACCCCAGCCAAAAACGCCCCAGCAGAATGTGCAAAGCAGCTGCCACAAAATCAGGCATCGGACCTACGTGTTCTTGCCACCTTCTGTATGTCAACCACGCGCTGGAAAGCCGAGGAAGGTGATCACATAGTGCTTGGAAACATAAGTATCCACGATCAGGCAAGATAATCAGCCTCTGCACCAACTGCAGCACTTCGTCTACACCACTGGACATGGACCACAAAGTGTTCCCATGCATTGCAGCCAGCCAGTCGCAGAAGCACGACGTGTGTCAAGCTGTGCAAGATGCACAGGAGAAAATCCAGGTCAACCAGAGTCATGACTACAAGTCCTTTACATAAAGGCACTGGACTACAGTATTGAAAGGGTGTTACAAAGCTTTCGAGAGTTCGTTTGGCTTTAGGCTTCAGGGTTCAGGGTTTACCGGGTTTACCGGGTTTAGGGTCTGGGATACAGCATGAAGGCTCAAGACTCCGGCTTGAACAGAAAAACACTCCAAAACCTTGCGTGCCCCGTCACCTGATCCACAAAACTGAAAAATGCCGACACCGGCCATCCCTGCAGGTGAACCCGCTGGGTAAGCCCTAAACCCTAAACCCTAACCCTACTTTGGGCCGCCGTGTTAGGTAAGCCCGTCGGGCTTAGCCCGAAGATTCGACCAGCCAGCTTAGGATACCCGAAACACTAAACCCCGCGCCTGAATGCGCCTATAGGGCACACTTCAACGAAAAAACCGCAAAGGCACCCTAAACCCTAAACCCTAAACCCCAAACCCAGATTTAGGAAACCCTAAAACCACGAACCCTAGCCCCAACTACGAATTTCCAACCACAGCTGTGAGAGTATGGGTAGGACATAGGGTTTTGGGGGGATATTCTAGTATACTTATACAGGGACCATAAGGGAACATTCTTTTTTCCGACCCCTATATGAGTCCCCTGCGCCGAAAAGTTGCGCCTGGCCCTCGTCTGCCAGATACCAGCCGCGACCACCTGCAGGGGGGGGGGGGGGTTTCGGGTTCGGGTCTCACCCTCCAAACGCTAGAGCCCCCATTCAGGGTTTAGGGTTTAGGGTTTAGTGTTTAGGGTTTAGGGTCAAGTGAAGCCACGACAAAAGTGCAAATTTAGCACTGGTGCGGGCCTTGACACTTTTCCTCTCGCTTGAGCCAGCGTCGCCGCCGGCAGCGATCTCAGCTCTCCCAACCGGTGGCAGGGCTCTGGTGACAAGGGGTATGAAGTGCAAAGAAGCTCTATCTTCACACCCAAGAGCTTTCTTCGCAGGAAACCGTGAGCTAGCATGGCAAGAGCTCACATAAGGTTTCACATCGCTACGTCAGCCACTCATTGATGCTTGACGATCTTGCTTGTCTTGCTTCATTGATGCCTTCTTCGAATGTTCTTTGTTCATGTCGAAAGTGACCTTGCCTTCGTGCATCAAGGCCAAGAGCTGCTCACACTTCATGTGCTTGGTCAGACTGTCGGCAACCATCGTCTTGGTCTCTATCCAGCTCACGCGGGTTGTGGAAGCTTGCGGAGGAGCATCTTGGTAAACAGGATCTCCAACTAGCTCTCCGGAGTCTCGCCACACCAGCTGGCGCATGGCACTGAGGTCAATAGCCAGGCGCTTGTCGGCAACCGTGGAAAGTCCCGGCTGCTTCAGGTGGCTTTCTAAGCTTCTGCAATCGGTGAACATCTCCAAGCGTCGTCCATCCATCGCGCCGATCATGAAGTCGTTGGTAGAGCCCGTCTTCTCGTGGAAGAGCCCATGCATCAGCACCCGAACATGTTCAGCTTCCTCATAGCCCTGAACGAGGCTAAGGGTTTCAGCCTGTAGTGTGCTGCGGCACACTCTCTTCAGCACATTGCTGTGCCATTCGATCATGTAGATGTCGCCTGTTCCGGTCGAAGCGAAGTCATTGTTTCCAAGAGCTAGGATCCTTCCGGACTGGGAACGATTCCCGAGAGGCACACCATAGTGCTCGTCCACATCATAGTCTGCACCATAGGAAGCGTCGGTGATGGAGAGGATGGCGGCCTCATTGAAGTCAACCGCATTGTAGCGGTAGAAGAGGCCATGTTGAGGAGTCTCCTTGACGTAGTTCAGAAGGTTGTTGCAGGCAATCAGGTCGCTCACGACGGCATTCTTTTGGATGCTCTGGAGATGGTTGACCTGGTAGCCAATATCTGGACGACACACACGTGTCACCCAGCCTAGACTCCCCAAGACACTCCTGAGTTGCCCCTTCTCGTTGTCGGTGGCTGCGGCATCACGTTCACGACGTCTTTCTCTGGTTAGCACAATGGGCCTCACCTTTGCTGCAGTGTTAGGGCAGGTCACCTTGATGCCTTCAGTGCTCTGCTCAATGTTGCGTCCACAGTAGACGAAGCTGTTGTCGAGTTCCAATGACCCGAACTCGAAGGCCAACTGTATCTGGTTCATCACCTCATCCATACGTTCTCCTCCGGCCCATAGGAGGTCATCGACGTGGCAGATGAGCATCCCGATGATGTTATTGTTCGAGTCATTGAGCACATACGCGGAGTTCTCGCCAGGGATCTTCCTTAGGCCCTTCGAGAGGATCACGGAGTGCAAGCGTTTCCAGAAACCTCGAGGGGCGTCACGCGTTCCGTAGACTGGCTTCTCAGCCAAAAGCAGACTGCCATCTTCCACTCCTGGTAGGCCGCCAGGAGGTGGTTTCAGGATGAGCTTCCGTGATATCTTCTCGCCTTGCAAGAAGGAAGCGGTGATGTCTCCTCCTCTCAAAGGAAGCTTGTTGCTGGCCGCATAAGCTAGCAACATGTTGACCATTGTCGAGGATGCCGTCGGTGAATCTGTACGAGTCTCAGCAGCGCCCCGCTCCAGGTCACCCCGCACCACAATGCGAGCCTTGTAGCGGGCATCTTCCCAGGGCTGAGCCTTGTTTGTCAGCACCCATCTGGTCGGGACAATCTGTGTTCCAGGATGTTCTCGAAGAAACTCTGCAGCCTTCGTCGGATCCAGCACCTTGACAGCCTCAAAGTTTCGCCAATTGCCCCATTCCTTTTCTTGAGCAGCTTCCATTTTCACACGCTCTTCGGCCTCCATTTTGTCCAAACTGTATTCTTTGCTTCGTGCCATGGCGGTCTTCCGGCGAGCAAGGAACGCCAGAAACGCCCGATCTTGCCCAGGGGCTCGAGGAAGCTCAACCAACGTGCTTTGGTTCGGGATCACCGCAGAGGATGACCGAGTAGGTGGGGATCTCGAGCGATCTCTGCGAGTTGTCGATGGCTCATTACGTGGTTCAGCAGCACGATGTCCATCGAGCAGATCTGGCGACCTATGAAGAGCTGCTCTGAGATTTCCGTGAAGTCCTGGTGGAAGCGGTGTAGGGGACATCACTTCACTTGTTCCTTGTCTGCTCACAGGAATTTGTTCTTGTTCAGGCTCGAAGGTCGAACCAACTGTGGGCGTAGGCGTCCTCTCTCCCTCATCGGTCTCAAGTAAGTCCTCAGGGATCGGTGGCAGGTCCGCAACGCCAGGTCCTTCGTCAGCTGGTGATAGCGGAGAAGGAATAGGTCCTGCGGCAGCTTCTCCTGCAGGTGATGGTGAATAGGGACTGGGTGAGAGTCCCCCGTCGGCAATGTCCGTGGTGTCAAAATAGCGCATTTGTTCATCTTCTCCAAGGCCTTCTCCATCTTCATGACGTCCTGGGACACCGGCCAAGTCATCGCCAAAAGGGTACTCATAGGTCTCGTCATCATCTTCGATAACTTCACGGCGTCTCTTCCTGCTTGGGCGCAGTTCCAACTCCCGCTTCGCCAGTATCTCAGGTCCACTAGCGTGTCGACATGCTTCCACGGCCACGGTCATGGGTATTCCTCCATGGATCACCCATAGCTTGGATCGCCCTTCTTGACCGACTACACGAGCAGGCCCAAACCAGCGCTGTCCAACTCTTGCTCCTTGCTTGCGGTGGAAGCAGACGAGGTCTCCAGTCACGAAGGGTCCACGTGTGGGCGTGGCCTTTCGAAGCATAGATGCGCGAAGACGTTGAGCCGAATCGTGGAACGTAAATGCTTGCTTCGCTGCCATCCGGATCTCCATACGGTGTGCAAACGACGAAGTCCCATCCAAGATCTCCTGGTGAGTTCCAAGCCGATGTTCTGCTCCGAGGGCTGTGAGGCTGTCCAAGTCCTTTGGTAGTCGCCCAAGCACCCATTGAGCCGGAGCAAAACCTCCAACATGCAGTCTGGAGTTCTTGACCTCAGCCGTTTCTGACACCACGAACTCAATAGACTGTCGTCCTCGGAGTTGCCGTTCATGAATGATGTGTTTCATCATCGACTTCATCAGCCCACCTTGCCGTTCTCCACGTCCTAGATGATGGCCGGCCTCCAGGCCGGTATATCGAAGTTCCACTCCTCGGGATCTCAGCATCTCCTGGAAGACCCCGCGGTTGTGCGTCCCCCTGTCCAGAACAACCCGGTCAGGAGCGCCTGCCCAGGACATCCAGGCGGTGTCAAAAGCCTTTGCGCAATTTGAAGAGGATGGGCTTCCAGCTCCAGTTCCAACCACGACGCCAACGTGAAAGAGCGTGCCGAGGTCAACAATGGAAAGGATCAAGAATTTGTTCCCCTCCACATCGCGGATCACAAAGACATCCACGCTTACCTCCACGTTGAAGACGTAAGGTCCAGGCACCTTGGTGGCGGGTCTTTGCATAGGCCTTTTCAGACTGTCGCAAACAGGACACTGAAAGTACTGCATTGCGCGGATCGCGGCGGCATCCGCACCAGCAGTACGAAGAAGTCGTTGCATAGATGCCGGAGATGCGTGTCCAGTCATGCCATGGAGCCTCCTCAAAGCGACACGCATCGCGTAGGGAAGCTCTCTCCATTTCTTTCTTCTCTCCCGCATGGACTCGGACTCCAAGCTTTCTGTTTCCTCATGAATTGCTTCTCCTTCTCGCGCAGCAACTTCAGCAGCTTCACATCGTCCTAGTGGTCCAGCGGTGATCGCCGCCTCATCTTCAGGGCCGTAGATGTGGTCCAACGTACGGTGCATGCCATCCTCATCATCGTCAATCACAAACTCGGCTTGGTCGGCATCTTCCCGTGCCGCTTCTGCAGGGAACGCAGACCGACACAGCGTGTTGTCCAAGTCCTTGCACCATCCATCAAGGATAGTGTGGCACAGTTTTCTTGGCCATTGTTGCGCTTCCTTGCAAGCCTTCCCTGAGGTGAGTTGCTCATGTTCATGTTGACCGTCGCAGCGTACATTCAGGGTGTGCTTCAAGGTTGTGGAGGCACTGAGGAAGCAAGTGGGCTTCATGTGGGGAAGTCCAGAAGTCGTGGAACGCAGTCCTTGCATGCATTGATCACATTTTGTGGCTTCCAGTAGTTCTCCAGTGAGAGCATCGTGGTGGTCATTGACGATCAAGTCCTGAAAGTCCCACTCATCCCACATAGCACTTCCCCAGGGATTCTCAACCAGAATCTGGCGACCACGGCTTAGGCGTTGCTTGACCATCTTCGCGATCCACGAGAGAACTGGTCGCCATCGCTTGCGTTCATCTTGGATGCGCTTGCAGGTTCGTCCCCCTTTGGATATGTTGAGCTTTGAGTAGGCGCACCAAGGAGAGCAAAGTGGCGCAATGCTAATGGCATAGGGGTCGTCTCTCTCGATCACGGAGTCCACGTGCGCTCGCCCTTCCGGTGTGAGCAAGTCGATGCCGACATTGAGGTCCACAGGAGCACTGATAGGGTGACCATATTCACGCGCGCAGATATCACTCAGCAAGGCCGCTCCCGCAAAGATCTCCAAGAGGAATGTACGACATCCGCGTGGCAACAGCGACCGTCTTCTCCTCTGAGTGGAAATCTGACTCCACAGGCACTGGTCAGAGTTGTGCGTGTCATGCACGTGCTTCTTCCAGGAGTTCCCCTGCGATCGCGTCATGGTCCGTCCCTTCATGTGGTCATACGCCATGTACCCAACAGCGGCTGACTCATCCTCATCAGGCTCCCTCTCATCGCAGCTCATCGTAGGAGGATGCAGTGCATCATCGGTAGGATGATGCAATGCATCATCGCGTGGTCGATGCAGTGCATCGTCGGTAGGATGATGCAATGCATCATCGCGTGGTCTTTCGTCCATCTTCACATCCGTCGCGAGGAACTCGGTCTCATTCTTAGTGATGTTCTCTACGCTCGTCTCCCCCAGTGCAGGATTCTCGGCCAGAAGTCCAAGATGAGCAGGTAGGAGGCGAAGTCCAAACAGCCCGTCCTTCATGACCAATTGAAGATCGCACCCAAGAGTTTGACTGTGGGCTGTCTCGGCACAGACATCCAAGACAAGACCAAGATGTCGTTGGGCTGCCAGTGAGAGCAGCAGTGGCGCATGACTTCCTCGGAGTTCTGCTGAGCGCAAGGTGCCTTGGGCATACTGTCCATTGATCATCTCCAGCACCAACGGAATTGTTCGCATGCCGGCCGTTTGCACTGCCCCTCCAATGCCATGGAAGGAAGGGCCCACATCGGTCTCGAGTGCTGGCAAGCATTGGCCGGTGGCTTGCACATATCGTTGCAGCCACAGCTCACCGTGACAGGACTGCGAGCATCCTGTATCCAAAGTGGCGATGAGGTCTCCTTCTCCTCCAGTAGGTTCCTGCGAAAGGACCATGTACGCTTGAGGAAACAGGCCGGGATCAGCGTCCAAGCGCTCTTCAAAGTAAGCACGTAGGGCATTCATGTCAGGAGGGGATTCTGGGGTGATCTTGTCAAGCACCCAGCGGCGATACCCGGCATCCTGATAAGCGCACTCTCGCGTCTTGCCCTTGTACTTACCGCAGGGGATGACCTTGGCGCCTTCAATGGCAATACGTCTCCGGCGATCATGTTGCGGCGTGGTCGTAGTCGAGGCAGCAGCCTGTGCCACCATCGTGCTCGCCGTTGCAGAGGACGCGCCTCGGTCGCTCCAGCATGCATGTAGTGCAATGACATGTCGAAGAGCTCGCATAAAGCTGCTACTCGGAACCTGTTGCCCTTCTTCAAGTCCTCTGACCCTAGCAGACGCAACATTGTGGAAGTCCTGAAGGATCTGGAGCGCGGTCTCTCTGTCGAGGTAGTAGCTCTCCTCCTCGACCACTGTCTGCGAATCACGATGAGGTTCTGTCCTATGTCCAGCTGGTGTCTCGCGATCTCCGGATTCTTGGTGTCCGCAATCCAGACAAGTGCTTTTCCAGCGGCTCCCATTGGATCCACGCCACGAAATGTTTGTGATGGGAACATCGTGGCTGTGTCGCGGCTGCTGTAGTCGTAGTAGCGGTCTCTCCCTGTCCGACATCCTTCTTCGTGCGGGACAACACCAAGCCACATCGCTTGCAACGCACGACATGCTGATACTGGTTCGAGCCGACGGAAGTCGTCTCTGTGTGGGCACAGGAAGGGCGTGCAGTCGTCGGGGCAACAGATGGTTGTGGTGCAGCAGACGTCGAAGGTGATGTCTGGGGCATTGGAGGTTCCTGCACTCGTGAGCTCTCATCTCGCGCTTGCCGCCCATGTTCACGCTCATGTTCACGTAGAAGTCGATCCATCTCGACATCGGCATCACCGTCGCCTCCAACCGGACTTCCATCCAGCCACAGAGGTCTCTGCTCAGCCTGGACAATGCTCCATTGCGACGTAGACGGCTGGGATGTTGCTTCCCCGTGTCCATGTCCCTGTTCTGCATGATGTCGATGAGGTACAGGCGGTGGTCCAAGTAGCCATCCCTGAGAAGCAGCTTGTCCACCGTGACCATGATGCTGAAGAGGAAGTTGACCGACAGGTTGGTTGTCTCGGCCAGGTTCACGTCGTAAAGCGAGCATTGCGGCAGGCTCTGGTTGAACGTCCTCAGCGATGGCAAAGTAGACCGGCCGCTTGCCGCTCCCCTTATTTCGCCCAGATCCCTTCGGGGTTGTCGTGGTGGTAGAAGTCGAAGAGGATGAGGGTGCCGTAGGGGCAGATCCGGTGAACTTTCCTTTGCTCTTGCTCTTGCCGCGGTTCTTAGGACAGACACTGTCTGAGCTCCAGTGTCCAGTCGCCCCACAGCGTCGGCAGGTCGTCCGATTCTTCAGCTCCTGAAGGCGTTGTCTCTTCTCTTCCAGCCTGAGGTGGCCAGAGAGCTCAAAGCGATGGTCTCGTAGACGAGGAAGCCCTTTCGCCTTTCCGCCTTTTCCAGCAAAGTACCCTTCGGCATCAATCTGGATCATCTCGGCCGCATACTCTGCAGAGTCGTAGTCCTCCAGGCTCAGCCCTTGCTCTGCCATGTAAGCCAGGGCGTCCGCTTGGAAGTCCAACTCGTCCGGCTCTTCGTAGTCGGCCATGTAGTTCTCCTCCACGTAGCCGTCCTCCGCATACTCTTCGGCCAGGTAGCCCATTGCGTACTCGTCATCGTAGAAGTAGTCCTGGTCGTTCTGCTCCGTCCAGTAGGCGTGCGAGGCGTGGAAGTATCCCTTCGGTCGTCCGTGGTGCTTTCCAAAACCTTTCTTTCCTTTGTAAGGAAAACGTTCACGTTCATGTAGTCGAGGATGTTGGTTCACCAACTCTTGGGCCACCGAGTCGAAAGTTAGCTTCCCTTGGAGGGCAGTGCGAACCATGAGTCGTTGATCATCAGTGATCCTGGCGTTCTGTAGGAGTTGCTCGGCCAAGACCACTTCCGGGAGTTTCATGTCGCTCGATGAGTCGAGCAGGGCCCGATACCAGGCTCTCCGACGCATCACGAACTGCGCCATGCCCTCGCCATGCTGACGACTCATCATTCCACCCACCATTGCACCAGCCTCATAGAGCTCGCGCGCTTGCTGTTCTCGCTTCGGCTGAAGGGTGGTGGCCAGCTCCTGGAGGAGGATCTCAGGCCCCTCAGCACTCTCCAGCTTCTCTATGTCCAGCATCTGTGCGGCGCGGAACGCCGTCCCAGTCAGGCCTTCAAGCAAGCGAAGTCCCAAGGGACCCAGCTTTGCCACTTCCTTTTCGTCAATCTTCTTCTCTTTGCGTATTCGAGCCCTGACCCGGAAGACGTACTCCTGATACCTGGTGGGGTCGCCGTTGTAGCGGGGAATGCCGAACTTGCCTTCCGTCACATTGTCTCCGTCCTCCACACTCGCAAAGTTGGAGGCTTTCAACATCTCCAGCACCGATGCAGCCATTGCTTCAGTACTGGGCACACTAGGTCCCAAAGGTCCCAAGGATTATGAAAGGTAGCTGCTCCGCTACCAGTGCAAATTTAGCACTGGTGCGGGCCTTGACACTTTTCCTCTCGCTTGAGCCAGCGTCGCCGCCGGCAGCGATCTCAGCTCTCCCAACCGGTGGCAGGGCTCTGGTGACAAGGGGTATGAAGTGCAAAGAAGCTCTATCTTCACAAAAGCTCAAACAAGACAGCTACACCCCGGACCCTGAACCATACAGCCCTAAGCCCCTACCTCGCCGAAGAACCGCCCCAAGCCCGAAATCCCAAACCCCAATGAGAGTTACCCTAAACCCGAAACCCTCACGCCCAAACCCAAAACTCCTGAACTCTAAGCTCCAAACCCTCAACCCTAAACAGCCTAAACCCGAAACGCCAAAACCCTGAGAGCCGGAGGGCCAAGTGTGCGAAGCTGCATCTGGCGGTAGGCGCGCTCGAAGATCCAGGTGAAGCACTGCAGGGCCACCGAGCGCTCCTCTGGAAGGAGTCTGGGTTCTGGGGTTTAGGGTGTCGGGTTCCGGGGGGGGTTGGGGGGGGGGGGGTTGGGGGGGGGGGGTTGGGGGGGGGGGGGGGGGCCTTGGGGGGGTTGGGGGGGTTGGGGGGGGGGGGGGTTGGGGGGGGGGGGGGGGTAAGGGTTTTAGGGTTTAGGGTTATAGGGTTTTAGGGTTTTAGAGTTTTAGGGTTTTACGGTTTTGGGGGTTGAGGTTTTGGGGTTTTGGGGTTTTGGGGCTTTGGGGTTTTGCGGTTTAGGGCTAGGGGTCTAGGGTTTTGGAGTTTTGGGTTTTAGGGTTGAGGTTTGAGGGTTTTGGCTTTGGGGCGGATTCAGGGTTTTGTGCTTGGGATTTGAGGTTTGGGGTTTAGATTCGGTAATCGGGTTTGGCAGAAGACGCTTTAGGACTGAGTGCTTAGGGGCACGTGTGGGTGGACGGCGGGGGGGAGGGGGGGAGATAATTGAACGTTACGACGCAAACCCTAAACCCTATCGAGGGTTTAGTAGTTTGTCTGAATTCGGGGGTTTGGTTTCGGGCGTGGGGAAATCGGCATGCTTAAGCTTCGAGAGAGGTGCCCTAAACCCTAAACCCCAAACGCCACACCCCAAAACCAAAAACTCATAAGCCCGAAACACCAAACCCCAAACCCTAAATCGATAGGTGGCCCTTAAGTCCGAAGAAAGAACTGGCAATCAGGGGTCCATCCACTTCAAGCACAGACTTGGAGGGCTTCGGGCTCAGGGGTTTAGGGTTTTGGGTTCAGGGTTTCGGGTTTAGGGCTTGGGCTGTAGGGTTTGAGGTTTAGGGTTTTAGGAGGGTTCGGGTTTAGTGCGAAAGGCATGAGGTGCCCTCTTGGGTGAGCTTTGGAGGGGGGGACAAAAAAACAGCATGTGTTATGTGGGGTTGTAGACTTAATCCCTGTTCCCCTAGGAAGAAAAAAGGATCCTTTTTGTTTATATATAAGAAAGCCCATAACCCAAAATGCAAAAAGGATCCCTAACACTGATCTAGTAGAGGGGTTAAGGCCAACAACATCTCAAGGTCAGCACCCGTCAACCCTATCCTGAAGGGTCCTCTTGCTGGCTTTTGAGGTGCACGGCTATACGTGCTGTCGGTCGGGCTTTGACTACACTTATACCCTTCTCGGAGCCTACTTTGCAAAAGACTCTGAACCCTTAAGGCAAAAAAGGAAACCTAACACCCTAAAACCATACAAACCCTACAAGCCATGCAAACCGTACAAACCCTACAACCTCGAGACCCTGAAAATCTACAACCCCAAAACCCTAACATCCTAAAAACAATCAAAAAACCACGTGCTGCCGTGTAACCTCTGGCGGGAGGTCGGGGATGCCATTAATACAGTCCACGAGCAGCGTCTTGGTACTCTCCTCACATGGCAATTTTGTAGGGTTGAGGGTTTAGGGAAGGAAACTCTCGAGTTTTGGGGCGCCCTAAATATCAGGGCCGGTAGTACAATGGTTGCCACAAAGTAAATCTAACTTAGGGAATCCTGCATGTTCTTGGGTAGGAGCTTCATCCTAGTATCCCCAAATGGACACCCAATACCACCCAACACACTTTCCAATATGCATACGGAACCATACATGCACTCACCAAGAACAGCGATACACGCCCCTACCCCTAATGATGGCTTCAGGGTAGGGTGGCGGCGGGGGGGGGGGGGGGTTCTAGACTCCAGCGGGCGTTTAACAGGTTCGAAAGGGTGCTTGCAGGGCTTTAGGGTTTAGGATTTAGGGCTTAGGGTTTAGGGTTGAGGGTTTAGGGTTTAGGTTGGAAAGGCTGTAAGGTATCAGGGCTTCAGGGTTCTTTAGGAGCCTGGAAAACTACCAAGACTATCCGCTTGTGACCCTTGGCGATTCGTTTCTTACAGCACAGGAAAAACAACACGCATATCAATCCCAAAAAAAGGCCTATATCTTAAACTCGAGACCCTAAACCTTAAGACCTACAGCCTAAACCTTAAGCCTTAGACCCTAAACCCTAAGCCTTAGACCCTAGAACCTAAACCCTAAACCCTACACCCTAAAGCTTGGACCCCAAAACCTTCAACCTTCGACCCTAAACCCGACGTCAACCATCTGGGGATTTCCGAAATCCGCCGAGGCCTCGGGCCGGAGGTGTATAGGTTGTCAGAACAGGCACCCCTCCAAATCCTCCCCACACCCAAACCCATTTTTCGGACCCCTTTGTTTGCCTCAATGGGTACCCCCCCTAGGAAACCGGGGTCCGCAAGCGGACGGTTCGCCAGGACCAGAGGCAATTGAAGCTCTTCCCCCCCGCCCCCATTCCCCCCCCCACCCCCCCTACCCCCCCTGAGGGGCCTGGCTCAACCCTACGATCAATCCAAGCCGAACCGTCTCTTGAATCCTAAACCCAAAAAAACCCTAAACCCCAAAGCGTGAACCTTGAGCCCTAAGCCCTCAATCCTAAACTAACCCTCAACCCTAAACCCCAAACCATAAACCCGGAACCCTAAACCCTAAACCCAACCCTTATTGCTTGGGGTCCAGCGACTTGGGCGCTGCGGTATCACCATGCTCACGCGGATGCGCTGGGCCGGGCCGAGGCGGGTCGCGTAGCGTTAACATTAAGGGTACCTTACTGTGTCCCTGAACCCTAAACCCTAAACCCTAAACCCCAAACCCCAAACCCTAAACCCCAAACCCTAAACCCCCCATCTGGGCCCGGGGTCGATCTCGAGCTTGTAACGACGCCGGCCGCTCGACTGATTCAGCGTCACGGGGTAGACCTGGGCGCATAGGCAGGTCAGGATTGGGGTTTAGGGTTTAGGGTTTAGGGTTTAGGGTTTAGGGTTTAGCGTTTAGGGTTTAGGGTTTAGGGTTTAGGGTTTAGGGTTTAGGGTTTAGGGTTTCGGGTGTAGGGTTTAGGGGTAGACCTGGGGCAAGCAAAAGCCGGACTCCGCAGGAAGTTCGGGTTTGGGGTCTGGGGTTCTAGGGCCCGAAACGGTAAACCCTAAACCCTAACCCCTAAGCCTAAATCCTAACCCCTAAACCCTAAACCCTAAGCCCTAACCCCTAAAGCCTGAACCCTGAACTCTGAACCCTGAACTGGGCTCTTTGACTTTGACATTTCAGGGCACCGAAAAAAACGGTGACATCAGCCTCGCAGAGAGTAACCCGAAGTGTTTTGGGGTTTAGGGTTTAGGGTTTAGGGTTTAGTCTGTTCGCCCAGCCGCGAGCACGCCCTCGTTGTCCACCGAGCCGCCGATGCAACGAAAAGAGGACCTCGAGAGCCGGTTTGGTTGAACCCTAAACCCTAAACCCTAAACCCTAAACCCCAAACCCTAAACCCTAAACCTTAAACCCTAGCCCTAAACCCTAAACCCTAAACCCTAAACCCAAAAACCCTAAACCCTAAACCCTAGCCCTAAGCAATACACCCTCAACCCTAAACCCGAATGGCTTTAGGGGCTCAGGTTAGGGCTCGGGGTCTCTGGGGCTGAGGGGTCCGGGGGTTCAGGGTCTAGGGCTTGGGGTTCTAGGGCTTAGGGCTTAGGGCTCAGGGCTTAGGGCTTAGGGTTTAGGGTTTAGGGTTTAGGGTTTAGGGTTTAGGGTTTAGGGTTTAGGGTTTAAAGTTTAGGGTTTAGGGTTTAGGGTTTAGGGTTTAGGGTTTAGGGTTTAGGGTTTAGGGTTTAGGGTTTAGGGTGGCTGTAGAGCTTCAGGACTTGGCTTGTTGGGTTTAAGGTCAGGGCTTTGGGGGGGCTTGTTCTTGAGCGCAAAAGGCTGCCCTAAGCTTGTGCTTGTCTTTGGTTTCGCTGGATTTTTGGATGTAGGGCTTAGGGCTGTTTAGGGGGCTTTAGAGGGCTTAATGGCTTCAGCTTTAGGGCGTTCCAGGGGGTTTCAAGAGGTCTAGGGGCTTTTTGTTGGGCTTTAGGGGCTTTAAGGGCTTTAGGGGGGGTGTAGGGGGGGGGGGGGGGGTCTATAGGGGCTCCCTGCCCATCGCTTCCCCCTTTTGGGGCCCGGGCCCCTCGCCAAGCTCCAGGCGGCCGGCGGGCTCATCTTGGCCTCTGTCGGTAGCTCGTGGGGTCCCTAGAAGCCCAGAGCCCTGGAACCCTAGAAGCCTATAGAAACCTATACCGGTAGAACCTAGAAACCCCAGTAGAACCTATAGAACCTACAGAACCCGAAGAAGCCTATAACCGTCGAACCCTAAACCCCAGAGATCAGGGCTTTGGGGTTTCGAGCTGAAGTTAGGGTTTAGAGCTGTTGGCCGCGATGCGATGCTTGTCAGAGGACAGACAAAGCTCAAAGACACAAAGCCAGAAAAGCTTCTGCCTCCCGGGGGTTGGAGTGTAGGGTTTAGGATTTAGGGCTTAGGGTTTAGGTTTGGGGTTTAGGGTTTGGGGTTTGGAGGCCCCAAAGCCTAAACAACACTGAGGAAGGAGCGATCTCCCTGGGCATACAGCAAGAATCTCGAACCCTCGGCTCCTGTGGGATTTCAGTTTTTGGGTTGAGGGAACCTAAAACAGTTGAACCTGTGACACACAGCTCGAAGGATTCCAGGAATTAGGGCTCTAGCAGGGGTTCCCAGAATTTTGAGTTCAGGGTCGAGGGTTTAGGGTTTAGGGTGTAGGGTGTAGGGTTTCGGGCTCAAGGTCTGAGGTTTTAGGGCTTTGGTTTGTTGAAGGTCAGGGCATCTTAGGGGTTTTCACCTGGGTGCCGTGTTAGGGCTCTAAACCCTAAACCCGAAACCCTAAAGCCCGGTGAGGGACTCAAATCCCCAAAAGAGAACAGGCGCCTGGTCCTCGAGACTGGATCCAGAGGCGCCTAATTTTGATGTAGGGTTTAGGGTTTAGGGCTCAGGGCTTAGGGTTTAGGGTTTAGGGTTTGGGGTTTGGGGTTTGGGGTTTGGGGCTTGGGGTTTAGGGTTTAGGGTTTAGGGAATTTGAACGGCTGCCGGGTGCTGATTCGTGGCAAACAACCCTAAACCCTAAACCCAGAAAGACAACAATTTGCTGTCTTTTCAATTCAGACAGGACGGCCGGGCGTTTCGGCCTAAGGAGCCTCGGGTAGCAACGAAGTTTGTCGTCACGTTCTGAGCAGGGTTTGGGGATAACAGTTACGTTCTCTGCAGGTTTCGGGTTTAGGACAGATCCCAGAGTAACCTGGGAACAACAGACCCGACCCTAAACCCTGAGGGAATAAGGGCTCACTGTGGGTCTTAGAGCGAGAAAGAGTGAGAGAGAGAGAGAGAGAGAATATATATATATAAGAAAGAGAGAGAGAGAGAGAGAGAGAGAGAAAAAGGGACAGAGAGCGAGCGCCATAACTAAGCGGCACTTGGCCGAAAGTGGGGTGTACGGCCCGATAACTGAGAAGGTTCAGGGTTTAGGGTTTAAGGGGCTGCTACAGGGTTAGGATTACAGGGTGTAGGGTAGAGGCCTTCGGGTCTAAACCCTGAATCCTAAACCCTAAACACTAAACCCTAAACCCTAAACCCTAAACCCTAAACGGGTTAGGGGTTTTACGAGGCTAAAGGGTGCTGGGGCCCCAGGCTGGCCCTCGTGTAGCGTCAGCGTGGCCCCGTCCGGGACTCGCAGGACTTCGCCGCGACAAACCTCGCAGCAGCGTGGCCCCCACGCGCACTTCAGGGCACTTCGGGTTTAGGGTTTAGGGTTTAGGTTTTCGGGTTTAGGGTTTAGGGTTCAGGGTTTAGGGCTAGGGTTTAGGGCTTAGGGACCCGAAGCCCTAAGACCCCACACCCTAAAACCTAGGTCGAATTTCGGACTTTGAAGGTCTTGGTGCCCATCGCAAGCTAGGAAAACAGCTGGTACCCGGATTTGTCTGGGCTGATCGGGGAAGCCTAGCCCCCACAATGCGGCGAAGTGCTTGTAGGGACTAGGGAAGGTGGGGTTGGGGCTTATACTGAGGGAGCCTCACCCCAGCAAAAGGGGGTTTGGGGGGTCTGGGCTTGTAGGGTGTAGGTCACAAAACCCTACACCCTAAACCCTAAACCCTAAACCCGAGAAGGCACTACTCGGGACATCCTACGGTGGGTTGCCTCCCACTGGCGCCGCCGCAGCTGCGCCAGAGTCACGCGGTGCGGCCCCGCGATCCCAAGCCGCTCGCAGTGGAAGCTGCCAGGGGTGTAGATCTCCTGGGCATCTTTTGGGGTTCAGTACTCCTGGTACTTCGACATCTACGTCAACTCCGCATAGGATTTGGGGTTCAGGGTTGTAGGGGTTTTGGGGTGTAGGGCTCAGCTTACCACAAGCTGCCATCAGCCCAGCGCGGTGGCACAGCGCCAGAGAGATTTTTTATTCAACAGATGGCACAAGAAGCTCGGCTCGGCTGGTCGCGGCGAGTAGCATAAGTATGGAGAATCGGAGAAACTCCCCCATCCTATGCTGAGGACCATCGACTTCGGGCAGCTGCCAACCCTTGCTCCGCTTCCTTACATCTGAGGCCACACGCTCAATCAGCGAACTCAGAGTCAAGCGAGGGTCCCGGCCAGATTGCCGGGACCGCAAGCCTTGAAGTAGACCAGGCCGGCGTAATGAGCTTTCGGGGTTTCATGCTTTGCTGGCTGCCCAAGATGACATCGGTGTGACAGATGTCAAGGAAGAACAAGAAGAAGAAGATCAAGAAGAAGAAGAAGAAGAAGAAGAAGAAGAAGAAGAAGAAGAACAGTGGCGACTTCGTTGAAGGGGTGCTGAGTTGTGGTGCCACCTTTGGCAGGCGTGTGAGCAGGAGGCAGTCATGTGGCACGTGGGATGACAAATTGTTGTTGTCAGCATCCATCACCGGGGAACATGCCAAAGGCCGTGATGTTAAACTCCATGGCCAGACAGGTACATTGGGACAAGAGCATCTTCCTCACCAATAACCGCTGCAACTGCTGCTTTACGAGGGTTTTTCATATCGTCCCCTTTCGGGCTTAGGGTCTCTGATTTAGAGATAACCCTAAACCCTAAACCCTAAACCCTAAACCCTAAACCCTAAACCCTAAACCCTAAACCCTAGACCGCAAACCCTAAACCCTAAATTAGAGATTCCCCCCTGCTGCTCAGCTGCGATCATGATCTCCTCGCTATCAATGTAGTCAAGGACGACGCAAGGAAGCCTGAGATCAGCAGTGAGGAGGCCCCAGAACTCAGACGGTTTAGGGTTTAGGGTTTAGGGTTTAGGGTTTAGGGTTTAGGGTTTAGGGTTTAGGGTTTAGGGTTTAGGGTTTAGGGTTTAGGGTGTAGGGTTTAGGGTTTAGGGTTTAGGGTTTAGGGTTTAGGGTTTAGGGGATGCCTATCCACCCTCTCTTCAGCAGCTTGGTGCTGCAAACCCGACCAACACAGGCCTTGAACCCCGAGAATCTACCAGGAAGTGCAGTAATTGTCGTCAACTTTGCCTCTGTGCTCTTGCTTGCTCTTAGGGAAAGTATCTACTTGTGGTTTAAATTGCTTACGATTGGGTTACCTTCACTCGGTTCAACGACGCAAGCGGCCTTCAAGCAAGAGGGCTTGGCGCTTAGGGTTTAGGGTGTGCAGGCTGATGGCCAATCGTTCTCCATGTGGGCTTCGTAGATGTCGGCTTCGCCCGCAACAACATCCTGCCAAGACTCGTCGGGGGAAGAAGCCCATTGGGTTTAAGGCGTTCGGGTTTAGAATTTTGGGGTCTAGGGTTTCGGGCTTCGGGGGTTTCATGCCCGCAGCAAGACGACCAGAGGCTGGCAAAGTCAGTGTGCAATGCAGTTCACGGTAGGCTGCGCAAGATACGCCTAGCATGAGTGGCAAGCCACCTAAACGCTATACCCCAAGCTCAGGTTTCCTCATGGTCCATATTATTGGGATCCTTCTTTAAGGGGATCCTACTACTTGGGGGTCTAAAGTCGGGATCCCTTATTATCGTAAACCCCCATATACACTGACCCAAAACCATACCCTGAGCTTCGGCACAGTTGGCAAAAATGATGTCTGGAACGCTGTGGCCAGGACTTTCGTTTAGGTTTGGGGTTTAGGTCTGTTTGCGTGTAGTGCTTGGGTTTAGGTTTTTAGGGTTGTATGTCCCAACTTCCTCATATCCAACAGCCTCCCATACCTCTAAATTCCTAAATCCTGCTGAGCCACAACTCCCTAAACCTCAACTCTGAACCCAACCCTTCACCCCAAACTCTCCCGAACACAAGACACAAGCCCCCTACTCGCTCGAGCCTACACCCACAGACCCGGAAAATCCAAACCCGAAATCCCAAGCTCGGAACTCTCACCCCGCAAGCCCTCGAAAGCCAGCGCCCGAAGCTAAAGCCCTAAACCTTAAACCCTAAAACTGTAGAAACGGTACACCTTTACATCCCTGAACGCTCAAGCTTGAAAGCCCTCCCGACTGCCTGAACCCAACCCAGCCCCTAAGCCCCCCTAGAACCCTCTAAACCCTCCAAGAACCCCCTAAGCCGCCCGAACACCGCCCAAAACCCCTAAGCCCTAAGCCCTAAGCCCTAAACCCTAAACTCTACACCCCAAACCCTAAACCCTAAACCCTAAACCCTAAACCCTAGACCCTAAGCCCTAAACCCTAAACCCCCGAAAAAGCCCCAAAGAAGCCCCAAAAAACTGAGCCGCCCTGGACCCCTCGGGCGCCTCTGCCCGAAGGCCCGTGTCGAGCGGCGGCAGGGCATCCAGGCGGAGCCCGGCCGCACAGTCGCCCCCGAACTCGAGGGTACGGACCTGGGTTTAGGGTTGAAGGCTTAGGGTGTAGGGTTGAGGGTTTAGGGTTTAGGGCATAGGGTTTAGGGGTTTAGGGATTAGGGTTTAGGGTTTAGGGTTCAGTTCTGAGAAGTTTAGGGGGCCTTTCGGGGGGAGCTTTAGTTCTAGGAGCTTGGGGGGTCTTAGGAGCGCCCGGGTTGATGATGCCAGGGGTTGGCCAGGTTGCGGGCCTCCACCAACGCACATCTTATTTCAGTGTTTTAAGTTTATTTAAGGTCCAAGTAAGGTTTAGGATTTGGGGTTTCGGGCTTTGGGATTAGGGGCTTGGGGCTTGAAGTTTGGGGTTAGTGGTGGTACCCTAAGTTGCGGCAGGAATGGTGGAAGAAGAGCGCTTGACACAGCCGCCACTCTTGCGTCTTCGCGAAGCGAAGGATCTGACTCAGGAGACCTAAGCAAACGAAGCAATCCCGCGGACTTGAAGTCAAATCTAGTCAAAACTGGTAGGGCCACAAGCCCGCGAGGGAGCTGTGCGTGAAAGGCAGTGTGTACCACACACGGAGAACTTTCACTGCAGCTTCACTGACCCCCTCCATCAGCAACCGGCACCAGCAGCGGCAGGACCACCAAGAATGCAAGGATACTCATGGGCCAAGGACTTGTGCTGCAAAAGTGCCAGATGCCAAGGAAAGCATTGGCGCAAAGGGAAAGCATGGGGACGAGCTGGCGGAGCGTGAAGATTGCTTCACCTTTCTGGCATGCCATTGAAAGGATAGCAAAGATGCCGAACTGCATGATGAGCGCGAAATCGATGGCATCCCCGAGAACAGCTAGCCCAATCGTGTCTTTGAACATGGTGAGCACCGAGATTGTTCCAAAGTCACAATGTCAGAACTGCATAAGCCAAAGTTCGGCAGTTCCAGCATGCTTCGGGGGTCCTCAACCATTACCATCTGATGCAAGTTCTCTACAACGACCAAAGCATTCTCCATGACATTGTTAGCAACAGATGACAAAACTGTGCAGGAGATAGCTACGAGCACACCTTTGGGAAGCACATTCTCCAAACTGTCGAAAGCATTCGTGAAATTCGCGATCTGCTGTGGCTCCACGACCAAGAGCACCGATACAGAGAGGAGAACGTAGACAGACATGGTCATGATGCAAGCTCCGACAATGCCTAGTGGTAAGTTCTCACGAGGGTTCTCCACCAAATCTCCAGACTGGAGCATGCCAGGAAAACCTCCGTAGGCAAAAATCGCAACGTGGATGCCGCTGGGAAACTTGACCATGTCAGTCCTTGACCCGTCCATGAGAGAAGAGATGGGGCGCAGCGATGTCCCAGTGAGGTATGCCATCGGGCTGCTCAGGACGAGTAGCCCAACTGTGCAAAGCTCAAAAACCCCCAGCCAATATGCGACGTTGGCCGTGAACAAGGCACCTTTCTTGCGGTACAGTGCCCAAAGGATGCTGACCAATCCAAGGCTGGCAGTCTTGGCCACCGTTCCAGTTGAATCTTCCGGAAAGAAGCTTGCCAAGGTGCTGCCAAAGAAGGATGCCTGCATGGTCACTGCGAAGAGTAGCTCGATTGTGATCAGCTGTCCATTGATGAATGACACATACTTTCCCACTTGGCTGCCTAAGCCTTCAACGGCAGCTTGGTGCAGACAGCCATTTGCTGGGAACTTGCCGTACAGGTGCAAGAGTGGAAATGCCGACAGAGTCACAAGCATCCCCGAGAACAAGAAGTTTGCCCAAAGCAAGTTTCCACACCCATCCTTCGCCAAGGCTTTCAAAGTCTGGTGGGTCCCCGTGCCTATCATGTTGCCGGCAGTGTAGATTGCCATTCGCGACTGCGAAAACTTCATTCCCATGCCGTCCTCGGCCTTCATGACTGGAGAAGCGCAGGGTCCGATGTCAATGGCTTGATGGCTTCCAAGGAAATGCTTGAGCGGGCAGTGGCTTCTCACAAGCAAGGCCCCCTGGTCATAAATCCCTAGACTCTGTCTGCACCCACCTCACCTCTATGGCTTTAAAAGGCCATGGAGTTCGATTTCGATTGTGCTCTGGTCGTTGCTACAGTAAACATTACTTGCTTCTCCAAGAAGGTAGTCTAATCGTAGATTCACTCCGCGAGATGCTGTTACACAAAGCCTTGATCACTAGTATATGCTGCCATGAAAGGCAGACGCAGAATCACGAAGTTCTGCTGTTTGTGTTGCCTGCTGCGTGACAGCTGTCTCACTCACCATCCAACCCACCTCCTAGGCTTAAAATCGTGGCCCTCAACCCCAAAAAAAAGTCTAGAGCCCATCCGATGGGCCCACTGGCCCTACACCCTAAACCCTAAACCCTAAACCCGAAACCCTAACCCTAAACCCCCCCCCCCCAAACCCCCCCTTCCCTCGACTCTCAGGCGGCGGCCCCCAAAGCTGCTTCCACAACGTGCTGGCGCTTCCTTGGGTCACGAGGTGTTTGAGGGAGGGGGTTCAAGGCGGGTTAGGCAACTCAAGGGCTCCCCCACCCTAAACCCTAAACCCTAAACCCTAAACCCTAAACCCTAAACCGTACTCCTCCCACTAGTCCCTCAGGCACCCGAAGCTTCCTAGGCCCCCATGAGCCCCCCTCCCTCAAGAACCCTATACCTGGGCCCCCCAGAACGCCATTGAAGGGATTCGCTCAGAGCGAGTTCCTGCACACGTCCTTAGCTTGGCGTACCTCTACCCTCGTCATGTTGGACCTGGTTTAGTAGGGGCCTCCTCTATAAAGTCAATTTGGTTGTGTTATTCAGGACACCCTGACTGTTTGGGGGTCCCTCTTTAAAGGCAAATGGTCCGGGCGCCGTAAGAAAATTCCACGTGGCGCGCCTTTAAAAAAGATTGCTGGGCATCGCTGCCCCTTTTACACTTCTCTCAACTCCTCACTATTGGCATCATACAAACCCCCGGGAGCGCCTAAACAGGGACAAATCCAGCCTCGACTGCTCAGGGGGGGCAGGGGGAGGGGGGGGGCCGCACTAAAGAGGGTTCAACATTAGGGTTTAGGGCTTCGGGTTTAGGGTTTAGGGTTTAGGGTTAAAACGCTCAGCCCGAACTTGCGGCTGAAGCCTCGCTTTCCGGGGAACGTCGAAGATGCTGCGCTTGAGCTCCGTCTCCTCTCTGCGAGGATGGCCAGCTCTTGACTTGAAGGGCTTAGGGCTTAGGGTTTAGGGCTTAGGGTTTAGGGTTTAGTTTAGGGTTTAGGGTTTAGGGTTTGGGGTTTAGGGTTTAGGGTTTAGGGTTTAGGGTTAGGGCCTCGGATTTAGGGTTTAGGGTTTAGGGTTTAGGGTTTAGGGTTTGGGGCTTAAGGTTTAGGGTTTGGGGCTTAGGGTTTAGGGTTTAGGGTTTAGGGTTTAGGGTTTAGGGTTTGGGGTTTGGGGTTTGGGGTTTAGGGTTTAGGATTAGGGTTTAGGGTTTAGGGTTTAGGGTTTAGGGTTTAGGGTTTAGGGTTTAGGGTTTAGGGTTTAGGGTTTAGGGTTTAGTTTAAGGCCCCCCGGGGTGTCGAGCTTTTGACACAAGAGGGGCTCCCTTGCTTCCGAAGCCGTTGAAGCCTCAGCCCCAAATGCCCGAAGCGAAGCGCCCGAAGCCGTGGAGCCCAAACAACGCGAACCCTAGACCCAAGCAGAAACAATGTTTCGGGTTTAGGGTTTAGGATTTAGGGTTTAGGGTTTAGGGTTTAGGGTTTAGGGTTTAGGATTGAGGATTTAGGGTTTAGGGGTTACGGTTTCGGGATATCCCGGAATCAGGGAAGACACCCCCTCGGAGCGCTGACATCTCCCAAAGAACGAAGAACAATGGCCTCGCGTGGGAGCATCGGCTGGTCCGCCTCGAAGGTAACAGGGCGGGTCTGTTGACTAATGTGGGGGGGGGGGGGGGGGGGGGGGTGGCTTATTGATCATCTCCCCCCCCCTCCACCCCAGATATGAAAGATTGGGACCTTCACACAACGACGATGAACGTGTGTCGTGGCGCGCGCCACACCCCAAACCCCAAATCCCCAAATCCCTTTGAAACCCTAAACCTGAGCCAAGTCCATGATCTTCACCTCCACTGGGCTCTCTCAAGGGTGAAGGCGGTTTCTTTCTTGATGTGATCGGTGACCCTGCACTCTAAACCCTCAAACCCCCTAACCCTAAATTAAAGCCGCAAAACCCACATGCAAAACCCCTGAGCCCCAGTATAAGGTTTACTTGAGGCTTCCGAACCGCAGCACCCTGAAGCCTTCGATCCGAAAGCCTAGGCTTTGAACTCATGGCGATGCCTCCGCATCGAAGAAGGAGCAGTGGAAGATATTGATTCGCAAGTGCCTTCGGGACTTTAGGGTTTATGGTTTAGGGACCCCAACTGCCCCTGCTTAGGGAATCAAATGACGGCCTTACATTTGTTTGAACCATAAACGCAAAAGCCTCATGATTAGCGCCATCAATAAAGCTTCGAGTAGTTACGTGGTTCCTTGAAATGACCCCAAACCCTAAACCCTAAACCCTAAACCCTAAACCCTAAACCCTAAACCCTAAACCAAACCTTACCATAACAAGGGCCCTAACATAGACACCCAAATAGTGGAGGTCCCCATTTCATAACGACCCAATAAAGTACTCCTACAATGGGAAAAATAGGGAATAGACCCCTAAATAGTAGGATTCCCTTAATAGGGATCCCAAAAAGGTACCCTACACTTCGAGGGGTCCCTCCTTCTACCCCTTAACATATCGCCCCATCCTTAGCTATTCCGATGGACTCGCCTCAGGGGTCTTCCAAGGTTTTCAAGGCTGAGGCCTGGGCCTGTGGAATGGGGGGGCCTTGGGGGGGCGTTTCGGGTTTAGGTTTTAGGGTTTCCGAACACCCTAAATTTCTGGAAGCCTAAACCCTCTCAACAAGCCCTGAATCCGAACCCCACTAAAGCCAAAAAAGCACCTCCCCAAATCCACCAAAATCCATACCCTAAACCCTAAAAATCTCAACCCTGAACCTTAAGGAAATTCAGGGAGTGAAGTCTCTGGGAGCCCTGCCTATCGCCCTGGGCGAACTGGATCCTCGGCCCAAGCGTCTCAGAGTCCGTCGGGTTTAGGGTTTAGGGTTTAGGGTTTAGGGTTTAGGGTTTAGGGTTTAGGGTTTAGGGTTTAGGGTTTAGGGTTTAGGGTTTAGGGTTTAGGGTTGAAGGGATTAGGTTTGAGGGTTTTGGACTTAGGGCTCAGAGCCTAGGGATACGGCTCAGAGGGCTGATTCGGTTGAGGGTTTAGGGTTTGCTGTGAAATGGCACAGAAGCAGTGATAGGGGATAGGATTAGGGGGACCCTTGGGGATATAGACCCTCTGAATAAGGTCCCTGTTTAAGGGAGCCAGAAGAGGATTCAGAAGGGGTACCCTTTGAAGGGCCCCCCTTATCCTACCTAGGAAGTGAAAGTTGGGACGAATTGATACGTGACATGCGGGGAGCAGCCATGGCCCGACTGTGGCGAGCCATCTACAACACTGTTATGGCACCCTGCGACCGCCTCAGGCAGCAAAACCACCCCAAGCTACTTTTAGGGTTTAGGCCTGAACCCAAGTCAATTGCCTATCAATTGCCTACTTCCAAAAAGCTTCTTCCGTCCAGTGGGTGAAGGGTCTCAAAAGGGTCTCCATGTGGGCTTTAGGTGTAGCCAGGGCCATTCGGAAGAGAATTCAGGGGCCTGTCTAAGGGTTGCTTGGGCTTCAGGGTTTAGGGATTAGGGTTTAGGGTTCGAAGGCCTTCAAGGAGTTCTGGGGCTTCCTTGTCTCAAGGGCTTTTTTGCGCGCTTCCCGAAACATCGGGCCCCCTGAACCTCCTGGTATGTCGCTCCGTACATTGCCCCTTTATGGGGACACCTACCGAAAAAGGGGCCGGCTTGGCCAACCAAACAGAAACTACGTAAAACCCAAAACCCTACACCTTTAAACCATAAACCCCACAAACTCTAAACCTAGTAAACCCTAAACTGAACCCTCAACCCTGCAAACCCAATAGACCTTATAAAACCTCATCAACCCTGTAAACCCTATAAACCCTATGAAACCTTATCAACCCTAGAAACCCCGGAAATCCCCTATAAACCCAAAAAGCCCTACACCCTAAACCTCAAACCCCAAACCCTAAACCCTGTGAACCCCAAACCCTGAAGCCTAAGCCCCAAGACCCTAAGCCCTGTAACCCCCAAGAGCTCTAGAGACAGTGGGAAGCCCAGAAGCAGAGAATGCCCAGGGCCGTTAGATGTGCGAAGGAAGAGCACGCAGCCAACACAGCAAGCCAACGGAGATTGAGAGTTGAGGAGGGTCGAGGTTTGAAGGGTTTGGCGTTGAGGGTTTAGGCTTCGGGTGATCAAAAGAGAAGGAGACGCAAAGAGACAAAGAGACCGAGAGAGAGAGGGAGTGGGAGGGGTGGAGGGACATGGAGGAAGAAAGAGACAGAGAGGACGGCCAGCCAAGAAGCGGGTAGCAGTTGGACACGCAGGTGCGGAACCGCCGCAAGACAGTGGGCGCCATGGGTTTAGGGTTTAGGGTTTAGGGTCTCGGGGTTAGGGTTCAGGGCTTACGTTTCGGGTTTAGGATCTAGGGTTAGGGGCCTAGGGGTTTTGGGTTTAGGGTTGAGGGAGTATGATTGAGGGTTGAGGGTTGAGGGCTTAGGGCCCCGCTGTGAGGTCTTGTTAGGGCTTAGGTCCAAGTTGTTCCGCACTCGGGTTTTGGGGTTGAAGGGCCGGCAGGTCTAATAATTGGGCTTAGGAGAGTCAGTGTTGGGTTTTGGGTTCAGGGTTGAGGGTTTTCAGATTCTTCAGTTCCTAGGTTGAGGCATTTAGGGGACCCTAAACCCTAAACCCT